AGTTGTTCCTGCGAGGATGATCTTAGATGCATTAGTGGTAATGCTCACTGTGCACTCACCTTGGGTGGTGATAATAGACGTATTGTTGCATAAGGAGAAATGCATGTACATTGAGGATGTATGCAATGTCTGTAAGAGTAAGCATATTGTGTTGAAGTGTCAGACGTGAGTTTCGTCTGATCGTGGGGACCATAGGCTCCATAACCACGAGAGTTAAATTTAACAATAAAATTAATGAAATGAAAAGATAGAGTTGTAGACCAAACTGTGAACCTCTAGGTTTAGCTTACGGCTGTAAACCTAGGAGGTGAACAGAAATAAAGAAAAGTAATCTGATAACATGCATAGTTTCTTAAGGTTGAAGCCACATGTGCTTAGATTGTGGACTCCATTATGATTGGGTGATTGGATATGTCTAGTAATTAAAGACTAGGCTATGCATTGATTGCTAAAAGATGATAAGTGTATGCACTGATCTTCCATGGAAGTGGTAGTATTACCTCCATGAGGACAGTATCCTATGAGATTGAGAGTTCTCATTTAAGGTCTATATTGAGCGGAACTTCCCTTGGAGCTAGCCTTCGGGACCTCCATGGGGTCAGATACCTAAGAGAAACAGCCCATAGCGGATCTCTCTTGGAAGTTCCATCAGATGAGGTTTTGTATGAGGTTGTTAGTAGGACCGCAGAAGGTCAGGGTTAAATATCTAGTGAACAGATATGACCCTTGAGGAAAGTGAAAAGTGAAAGGACTGATAAAATCATCAGTGAAAGGACTGATGTGCGTGCCAATGAAAGGATTGGTGTGTGATATTAGTGAAAGGACTAATATCTAAGTAAAAGTTTAGGTAAAGATTGTTCTATCAGTGAAAGGACTGATAAGGTCATCGGTGAAACGACTGATGGTCCATTATGAGTGTAGTTAGTATTAGTAGTGGGAAGTAATGATAAAAATGAAAGTTAAATCGTGAAACGAAATGTTTCATCTTATGATAAGATGATGAGGAAAGGAGGAACGGATGGATAGGGTAACTTCGGGAACATAAGAAGAGTTCTCCGATAAATCCATAGGTGATTGAATGAGTGGTTTTGTCGATTTTGACGACAAAATCGTTAAAAAGGTGGGGTGAATATAATACCCCAAACTTAAGTATTCAATTAATTAATTTTAATTAAGTAATTAAGCATGTATTAGTGAGTAAAATTAAGTATAAGACTTAAACGAATTGGAGTCACTTTGGAGGTAAAAAGTGTACTCAGTGAAAGTTAAGGGGTATAAATGGGTACTGGAAAAGTGTCCAAAATATAAAAATAAAAATATTAATATTCCTAGAATAATATTCCAGACTTTTGGGTAAAGTTTGGTAATTAATGGAGTTGAATAGATAGATGAACCAATACCCACATAAGCCACTTAACTAAGTTAAGTGACTTGAAAGCCAAAAAGAACCCCTACCCCATTCATTCCCCACGACACCCTACACCAGGGAAGAAGAAAAGAAAGAAAAAGAGAGAGAAGGAGGAAGGAGGGAAGGAGAAGGGAGGAAGAGGGTGAGAGGGCGATTCTCCACCGATCGGAGTGATTCCAAAGCCTAGACCACTCAAAATCTTCCCCTCTTCCATAATCCTAGTTTAGTTTTGAGTGGGGGTTATTGTGGAGAGAGATATTCTCCTTCAAAAATTCGAACCCTAGGTGAAATTGAGGAGATTAATGGCTCCTACCTCCATGGGAGCTTGGGAGGCTTCTATTGCATGGTTGTGTGACATATTGTGGTAAGTTTCCACTTCTCCAACCTTGTATTCATGGAAGTTTCTTGAGGTTGATGATGATGAATAGTGTATTTTGGGGTTTTATGAGTTTGAGTGTGATGGAGGCTTGGTGTCTTTGAAAATGTTGTTACTGATGATAAATAAACGGTGAAAATGAGTTTAGATTGTCATTTGAGTAAATTATACTTGAGATTAAGGATGCTCTTAAATGTTAAGATATTATTAGCATCAATTGATTGTATTCCTTGTGTTGATAGGATTGAGGCAAGAAGACCAAGTAGAGTGACCAACCTTTGTGGTTGTGTGCAATTGAGGAAAGCTCAAGAGAAAGGTAAACCTTTGGACCTTGTGGTTGATCCCATTGAGTGTTCCACCATACTCCATGGAGGAGAAATGGTTTACGAGATGTGATATGTAATTATGATTGTAATTGCATGCTCATGCATTGATTCATGCATTGATACATGTTATGATTGATTGATGATTATTGGTTGATGTTTGATCGTTTAAGAGTAATTGAGGAATGGTTATAGAAGTAGCAATAATGAATGAGGTAATGGTTGAGGATTGTGATTGAGGTTATGAGTGATAGTATTATGATGAGGATGATTAGTAGGAACTTCCCTTGGAAACAGCCCTATGTGGATCTCCATGTGGTTAGAGCCTAGGAGGAACAGCCCTATGTGGATCCCTCTTGGAGGTTCCTAGATTGAGGAAAGGACTTCCCTTGGAAACAGCCCTATGTGGATCTCCATGTGGTAAGAGCCTAAGAGAAACAACCCTTAGTGGATCTCTCTTGGAAGTCCATGTAATGCTTGCTGATAAGAATGTGTTAAGCTATTATGATTATGTGTACATCGAAAGTGAACCTTAGGGTGGAGTGATCTCCAAGGACCTCTGGTTTACTGTGATATATTCGTATATCTCACCCCGTGTTATGGGGACCCCCTTTCAGGTAAGGAAGCTGCAGGAGCCTCTGATGGCAAGTGGCCTTATTTGCAGTAGATCATGCATGAAGAAAATGATGTTTTGAGATCATACATGTTATTTTGTAGATTTACATGTATAAGATTGATTATTGATAGCATTGACGTATGTATATCTCGTTATATTTGATGGACTTAGCCTATGATCATGCCTTTGGATATCTCTTTTGTTGATGAGAGCCAAGGGATGGTCATAGCCTGTTGTAGCTAAGTTCCCCGTTATGTAATTAAACTTGTGTAATGTTATTTACTTCAAGGTTATGAACGCATGATGAATATTGGAAATGTTGAGCTGAATTGTCTATTAGGAGCTAAGCTGTTAGATTGGGAAACGTTGAGAAAACAAAGGTTATGCTGCCCAATTTCCGTTAAATCAATTATGGAGAGGAATTTATATGATAGATTTGGACCGTGGTGTATGTATGGAAGTTGTAGATATTTTTCTTAGCTTTCCATAGAGACCAATATTGTGTGAATTGGACAAGTACAACTCTAGTTAGAGGTAAAATACTAAGAATAGGTGAAACCTTCAGAGCTTTCGCGCACCGTGCGCCATAATGCTTGGAAGCTTCTGTTTCGTAGCGCAAATCGCGCCGGCGTTGGCGCAAATCGCGCCGGGATCACCAGCTGGCGCACCTGGCGCCAACCTTGGCGCCTCCAGCGCCATTTCGATCGGGAGCTTCTGTTTCGTTGGCGCCCGCCGCGCCACATCTGGCGCCGGTCGCGCCGGGATCAGCAGGATTCACGCGCTCGTTTCGTAGAAAACCCATAACTTGGGCTACAGTGCTCCGATTTGAGCGCGGTTTGAACCCACGCATTGCTAACGAAGAGATCTACAATATAGTAGAAGTTGTGAAATAAATAACAAGTAAATTAATGGTTTAAAAATGGAATGAGAACATGATGTTAAGCTTGGTTTATCTGATTCCGCAAGGTAATATGGTTATGATCACGCAATTGGATGTTTTAAATTCAGCGTCGTTTTAAAAAGAAAAATTCATCCGGATTGTTAATTGAGCCAATGTGATTGTAACTGCGCTTAATATCATAATGCGATGTTAACAAACCGGTTCTAGAACGGGGTGTTACACTGATAGAGGTAGCTTATTCAAAGGAAGAAATTTTTATCAGCCAGAAAAAATATGTCCTTGATCTTCTTAAAGAAGCAGAAAAACTTGGGTGTAAACCCTCTAGTACTCCTATTAAGCAAAATCACAATATAGGTTATGAAAATGATAGTCCTCCAGTTGATAAAGGACAATATCAGCGATTAGTTGGGAGACTGATATATTTGGCTCATACTAGATCGGACCTAGCTTATGTTGTTAGTATTATGAGTCGGTTCATGCATAATCCAAAAGAAAAACACATGCAGACAGTGGAGAGAATTCTTAGTATCTTAAAGCCACTCCTGGTAAAGGACTGTTGTTCCAGCGTGATAGCAGTATCTCTTTAGAAGTTTATACTGATGTTGATTATGTTGGATCCGTGACTGATTGTCGATCTACCACTTATTATTGTATGTTTCTTTGTGATAACCTAATGACATAGAGGAGTAAAAAGCAAGACATGGTTGCCAGATTGAGTGCAGAGGCTGAATTTCGAGCTATGGCTCAAGGCATTTGTGAATTATTGTGGTTGAGAATTATACTTGATGATCTCAAAATAAGATGTGAAGGACCTATGAAGTTATTTTGTGATATTAAGCCCGCCATTTGTATAGTTCATAATTCAGTTCAATATGATCGGGCTAAGCATATTGAGGTCGATCGCCATTTCATCAAAGAGAAACTTGATAGCGGGTTTATCACCACTCCGTACATCATTCTGAACGTTAATTAGCTGATATTCTGACAAAGAGACTTCATTCGAAAAGATTTCAAGAGCTTACTAACAAGCTGAAAATGACAAATATTTATTCCTCAACTTGAGGGGAAATATTGTAAATAATTGTATTTGTTTATTTATTTATTTATTTATTTCCATTCTATAATTTTCTTTGGGCTTAGCCTATTAAGTTATATAGTCTCTTTAATACATATATAATACATAATACATATATAATACATAATTATCAAATAATATTATCCCTTTTTTTGAACTAAGAATATTCCCGCTAACAAGTTCTATATGAAAATTCTTAATATTAAGGAAGTGTTGGTGTATACTGTATCATAGTACACAGCTGCTTCTAGCGCTTCTCTCTCTCTCTCTCTCTCTCTGAAACAGACTCGTTGGTGGGAAAATGGAGAACATAGATGCTTGTAGAGATTTCATCAAAGACGCTAGGCGTATCATCATAAAGGTTTTTCTCTCTCTCTCTCTGTCCCAAAAATATCTTCTTCTTCTTTTGTGATTGTGTGTATGGTTGGCGCGAAATGCTGCAACCATAGGGTGATGCAAATGGCTAAGGTTATTGGTTTGATTGGTTTTTAAGGTTGGGACTTCTGTGGTCACACGCCAAGATGGAAGAGTAGCGGTTGGGAAATTAGGGACACTATGCGAGCAGGTCACTTTGTATATATTATGTGTTATGTGTTTTTTGTATTTTTAAGAAATAAAAATGGGATTCTGAATTTGGAATGTGTGTCCCTTTTGAAAACAAATGGCAGATTAAGGAGCTGAACTCTCTGGGTTATGAGATTATTTTGGTGTCATCTGGTGCTGTTGGCCTTGGTCGCCAAAGGCTCAGATACAGGAAATTAGTTAACAGCAGGTTAGGATGGGTTAGGTAACACCTTTATTTTGGTTCTCTCAGTATGTATACAAAACCTTCAAAATGCTGTTTGAAGGGTATGTATAATAATAGTTTTTTTTTTTAATATTTTTTTTTGTTTGAAAAAGTTCACCAATGTCTTTGTAGTTTATTGCAGAATCATCAATGTTCCTGTGATTTTTTTTATCATATATGCCTTTGTGGTTTGCTAAAGGATATGTTTTTTTATCATATATATATATATATATATATATATATATCTATGTGATTTTTTACTTTTTATAAACTACAAGAACTTATGTTTGCTCTTATTCTAAGCATGTTCTCCTCTTGATTTTTGTTTTACCCTTAATGCCATTGCATTTTCAGTTATTATCTTACTTTAAGATACTTGACATTGATGTTTTACTCCTTTCTCTAACTGCCCTGCAGCTGGATGTGACATCTGCTCAGCTTCTTGTGACGGACAATGATTTTAGAGACAGGGATTTCAGAAAGCAACTTACTGAAACTGTGAAATCATTGTTAGCATTAAAAGTTATTCCCATATTCAACGAGAATGATGCAGTTAGTACTAGGAAATCTCCATATGAGGTTTGTTATTCTACTTGTCTGATTTAAGCTAAACTTAATCTCGAAGCTGATTACTTCTAGCTATGATGCTCCTTTCTGAAAAAATAGTGGCAATCAGTTCTTTGCTGATGATATGATCTTGGCTTATGCTACCAAGAAATAGAGCCCAGAATTATGTTTAATTTCTTTTGATATATTTTCTGAACTTTATCTGTTAGACTTAAATATTGATTCTGTATCCAAGGTTTTCTTTAGACTGATCTGTATATGGACAAAATTTATTTAGCATTTTGTCTGTAAACCGAACTTAACCTATTTAAGGAAAACTGACTACTTGTTTATCCTTCAGTAAGAGGCTTCTTTGCCTGTCAAGCATTCCCAATATTCGACTCTTAACAGTGTTTTAAGTATTTGAAGTGTCACCAACTCATTTTGTGCAGGATTCTTCTGGCATATTTTGGGATAATGACAGTTTATCAGCTTTATTGGCCTTGGAGTTAGAAGCTGATCTTCTTATTTTGTTGAGTGATGTAGAGGGTCTTTATAGTGGCCCTCCAAGTGATCCACGCTCAAAGCTTATTCATACATACATTAAGGAAAAGCATCAAAATGAAATTACTTTTGGAGACAAGTCTAGGGTGGGAAGAGGTGGAATGACAGCCAAAGTAAAAGCTTCTATTCATGCGGCTGAAGCTGGCATTCCAGTTATCATTACCAGGTTTTATTTTAAACATTTTCCAGTGGCACCATTTTCAATTAGAAATATTTTATTTAGTCCATGACACTTGAACGTACTATTTTCACTGGACCACAAGGAATTTCGAGAAATGAAAATAAAAAACTCATATACATCTAATTTGCTTTCAGTTATCTGTTTATTTGTTCTATTTATTTTTCTCTTTAGATGACTTTTTGTGGACCATATGTTTAGTCAGTAAATTTAACTGAGACATTTATGGCACAGAAGATCATTCATGAACTTTTTTACCCTTTGCCAATATTGATATATTAGATGGAAGTTTTAATTCCAAGAACACTATGAAATCCATTATGTATGCTACCCACTCTATCTGATTTTCATCTTTGCAAGTTGTTTTTTCCTTTCTTCTGACACATTCCCTTTTTTCCCATTTCAGTGGTTATTCAGCTGAAAATATCATTAAAGTCCTCCAAGGACAACGAATTGGAACCCTCTTCCATAAAGATGTGCATATGTGGGCCCCAGTAAAAGAGGTTGATGCACGTGAGATGGCAGTTGCGGCTAGGGACTGTTCCAGACGGCTTCAGGTATCTTATATCTTCACACTTACAAAATGTCTAATAGAACAAATGATGGTAGTTGATGCACGTGAGATGGTAGTTCAGTTAGCGTCAGGAAATTGAGCAAGTGAGGATGAGAGTAGTGTTTGATCCTCTTCAGTATTGTCTTTAGGAGGGATTTAAAGTCTTAAACCTGGAACCTGTCCCGAATCGGACTAGTCGCGAAGCGATGAACTGATTGAAATATTTCAAAATAAAAAATAAAAAATATCTAATGGATCATGGATATTACTAGCTGTCAATGTACCATTCCTAGTTCAATTTTCTAATCTTCTACTCTTTACAGGCCTTGTCTTCAGAAGAGAGGAAACAAATTTTACTAAAAATAGCTGATGCCCTGGAAGCACATCAAAAAGAGATAAGGATTGAAAATGAAGCTGATATTGCTGCTGCACAACAAGCAGGATATGAAAATTCCTTGGTTGCTAGGCTGGCTTTGAAGAATGAGAAGGCAAGAAGCTCAACTAAAGAATAAAATATTTAAATTTTAACTAACTGTACATAATTGTTTAAACTATGATAATTGACAGCTTGCAAACCTTGCCAACAACATACGAATTATTGCAAACATGGAAGATCCGATTGGTCGAGTGCTAAAACGAACTGAGGTAATGAGAAGTTTATACTGACTATATATATTCTTGGACATGGTAGTTTTAAACACCAGTTGCTGAGGTCATTAATGTATAAGCTGGATCAATTTCCCCTTCTACTTATTGTATTTATTACAGATTCTAATTTTACATCCATACTAGTAGATAAGAAGGAAATGACTTGTGTTATTTGCAATTTTGTTTAAGGAAGTTGTCCAAACTTCAAAGTCAATAATACCCTTATCTCAAACTAGCTGGGTCGGCGATTGATGAACTTAAATAAAAAATAAAAAAAAGATTGAGAAAAATAAAGAAAAATAAAAAATAAAATAAAAATAATAATAGTAATAAATAAAAACTAAAATAAAAGAATAAATAAATAAATAATGGTGAGAAAAATAAATAAATGAAATATAATTAGAGAGGAAGATAAATAATTAAATAAACATAGGAAAAAAGGACCAAAAACAGGCATATTCCTCCACACTACTAATAGTTTTCCTACACTCTGTCCTAAGATACACCATTCGCTAATTTTTTTTTTTTTTTAATACATCACCATTCATCAAATTGTTTCTCACTCCATTAATTCTTATTTTATTATTTTCTCCCAAATAAGTCTTGGATGAACTCTTCCTTTCTTTGTGTCATAAAGTATGGGAGTATAACTGTTGCTTAGTCAAAAAGTACATTGTTTATGATTTTTTGAACAAGCTTTTCATGAACACTCTAGATTGTACTGAATTTTTAATGATAATTATTGATCTATAATATTTCTGACAGCTTTTTTTTTTAGCTTGCAGATGGGCTAATTTTAGAGAAAACATCATCTCCTTTGGGAGTTCTTTTAATTGTTTTTGAGTCTCGCCCTGATGCATTAGTTCAGGTATATTAAACATTTTCATATATATATATTTTTTTTCACCTTCTGTTAAAACCTGGTTAATTATTTTCAATTTCTCAATTTTGTCCTTCCTCTTGATTGCCTTTATATATAAATCTTGTTTAGTTTGCTTTCTATATGACATGCTTGGGCAAAAGTTACCTACTAAGCTGTGCATCAGGCCTTTCTTTAAAAAAATAAAATGAATTCATTATTCTTATATCACATGAACTTATTTAGGTTTAAAAAAATATGTCTTGATTGATTAACTCTGAATTATATGCTTTTTATCTGAGTCTAAGCCAATGGCTTCATATAATCTAAACAGATAGCTTCCTTGGCAATCAGAAGTGGGAATGGGCTTCTCTTGAAAGGAGGCAAGGAGGCTAAGCGATCAAATGGAATTTTGCACAAAGTTTGGTTTCAAATTAATTGATAATTTGCAAACCATTTTGTTTTTAAATTATATTTGGTTATAATAAACATTTTTTGGGTAATTTATCATCTCTGAAATTTCAGGTAATTACTGAAGCCTTACCAGATACTGTTGGTGCAAAACTTATTGGACTTGTGACGTCAAGAGCAGAAATTCCTGAGCTGCTTAAGGTGAATACAACAGTAGAGATTAGTTTCTGATTTATAAATTTGTCCCCTTTGATGATTGGCACCTTTTGCTAAAGCTGGAATCTGCATTCTATTTGTCTTTTAGCTTGATGATGTGATTGATCTGGTGATCCCAAGAGGCAGCAACAAACTTATCTCTCAGATCAAGAGTACCACTAAAATTCCTGTTCTGGGTCATGCTGGTAAGACCTTTCTGCTTAATATGCAAACAGTGTTTGATATGGTATCATAAACCCTTTTGCTAAAGAAATTTATTTGTGACTAGCTGACTATCATAATAAAGCTACATTATTGCCAAACTAGATGGAATTTGTCACGTCTATGTCGATAAATCTGCTAATATGGAGATGGCAAGGCGGATTGTACTAGATGCAAAAATAGATTATCCAGCAGGCTGCAATGCCATGGTATTTCATATGTGTTGAATGACTGTGCAAGCTTTGTTTGCTGGCTATTTTTCCTAATTCACTTTTCACTGCCATGCATAACATATGTTTATTTAAATTTGAACTTTTAGGAAACACTTCTTGTTCACAAGGACTTAATAGAGAAAGGTTGGCTTAGTGATATTGTTGTTGACCTACGGACAGAAGGTATGACTTCTGAGTTCTGACAAAAATCTCTTATTAAACTGGTGAATTATCTGACTGGCATCATTTCTATATTTGAAAAATGGTTTCTTGAAGTCAAATGGACAGTTCTATGTATTGTTAATTTTATCTTGTAAGATTTCTGGAATGGTTGCATTGGATGATTTACAATTCATGCAGGTGTAACATTATATGGAGGACCAAAGGCAAGTTCTCTGTTAAATATTCCACAGGCACGTTCATTTCATCATGAGTACAGTTCGTTGGCTTGCACTATTGAAATTTTGGATGATGTTTATGCAGCTATTGATCATATAAATATTCATGGAAGGCATGTCACTCTTTATTTCTTGTTAAGAAATATGTTGAAGCATATTTTCCTTTCATTCATCTTCCCTGTGCCCCCATGTGAAATTACATCTGCAGTTGTGCAGTGGGCTTAGATGGAAATTCGTCTCATTTTCTCTTTCTTTGTGGCAGTGCACATACTGATTCCATCGTCGCAGAAGATCAAGAAGTAGCTGATGCGTTTCTAAACCAAGTAGACAGGTAATATTTGGAATGTAATGAATTGTTATTTTGTTTTTCTAATCATATTATCTACTTAGCAGCATTTCATTATTTTGATAATTTAATTGCCTGTTTTTTGACAAAATTATTTATTAGTAAACACAACAATCCTTTTCTTTTGAGCAATTAACCACTTTCTGAGATTACTGAACATTGAATCACGGCAGTTATGTAAATAATGTTTGCTATATTGGCAGTGCTGCTGTTTTTCACAATGCTAGTACAAGATTCAGTGACGGGGCACGATTTGGACTAGGTGCAGAGGTATGATTTAGTTTGCATTATTTTTTTTTTTATCAATATCTTAAGCTAAAGTTGTTGATTTAATTCATAATTCTGTTATGGGCTTTAATAGGTTGGAATAAGTACAAGCAGGATTCATGCTCGGGGTCCGGTAGGAGTTGATGGATTGTTAACAACCAGATGGTATGAACTGATGGTCATTATAACACTTTAAAAACAAACACAAACCTTTTAGTGTCCTATACAACTAGCAATTCCATTCAGTTTCTTATTTAGTTAATATGATCAATTTGAACGACACTAACTAATCACAATCACAGAGGTACAAAGATTTATGGGAAATAGATTTATCATTTATGAATAACCAACACACTAAGAGGTTTATAAAAGGATAATAACTGATATTGAGACTATTCATTTGCGTGTGCAGGATTCTCAAAGGAAGTGGAGAAGTAGTAGATGGTGACAAAGCAGTTAGCTACACCCACAAAGACCTTGCTACTTGATATGTAACTTTTGCAAATAAAATTCACATCACTCTTCATGCAGGGAAGGTCACTAGGCTGTGCTTTATTTTCCTTGGTCTTTTCTTCTGTCTTGAGAGTGGAGCTAAAATTGTACAATTCAGTAGAGGGGGAGTGATATTTGTGTTATGTATTGCTGCTTTTCTATTCATGGTGTTGTTCAAGAGAATTGCTTGCTCTCCAACCTTAGGAAATTAATGGTCTTTGTTTAGGACTTTCTTAAATTGATGTATATTATAGTTATGCAAATAAAATACTTCACCTTTAGCTTCGAAAATAAAAAATAAAATGCTTCACTTATTTTGTTGCTGTCGTGTAATTGCTTATGCTAGGAAAATTAAGACAATTTGAAGTCTCTTGAGTCAACGGCTTCTTGCATGGGCAAACATTGTTCTATTATATACTAACTATATATATTTTAATGACTTCATGTTAATTTTACAGTTTTGTAATAATAATAAAAGACAATAATAACATTAAAAATAATTGTACATATAAGAATTAAGTTATAAAAATTATGCTAAAATCAAATTAAGAATAAATAAAATGTATGAGGAAAAATATATCTCAATAAAGAGTTGTAGTTAAATGTTAAGGGTGAGGTGTGAAGGTGATATGTAATGATCTAGAACTACTCACAAGAACTTATCATTTTTTTGAGAATTTCTAAGATACTTTAATCGCATTATTGATTAGGTGAGACGGACCAATCAAAGCTAGAAAGAGAATGTGATAGTTGCATAGGGAAGAGATAAAAAAAAATTTAATCCATGTGTTATTTTTTTGAATAAAAATCTAACATACAATTGGTGCACTGAAAATGCACTCTGTTTTTTTTATATTATCCGTCGGAATTCAAAATTATTAATTTTGAACAATTATTTATGGATTTTTGTTTTATCCTTTAACATAACATAACAAATTTTCCTACACTCACAACATTTTGTGGGGCCCACACTTTTTAAAATAAAAAAATAAATAAAAAATTAAGGCACGCAAAACGAATCTCTATAACATTACAAAATCACTTTTCCTACCACATAACTCTTATAAAACCCATTATTTATTAGTTGATTCACATTGTGGTAGTTATCATTTCTTTAATGTATAATAAAATCTCTCCAGGAATTATTTTTAAAAAGAAAAAAAGATTAAAAAAAAAAGAGAGAGATTAATGAAGAGAAGACAAAACTATCAGTTTTATGGAAAAAGAAAAGGAAGAGGCAGAGGAAGGGACCATATATGAATGAAGATGCCCTATAAATACATTTCCCTCGCATTTGATTTCCCGCTCCTGCAAAACCCTAACCACTCGGAAATGGGTCAGAAGCAGAAACACCAACCTAATTCAGATTCCAACAACGATGCCAAGAAGCGACGCCGTGTCGGCTTCTCCGTCGTAGGTGAGCTTTCTTTCCATACTTTGTTTCATTCACTTCGCCTTTTTCACCTGATTAATGTTCCATCATCAACCTTGTACTGTGTTTGTGCGTAGATGCTGGTGTTGAGGCCAAAGACTGCATCAAAATCTTTCTAGGTACGACAAAAGTTTTTCGTGCTCATACTAGCTGCTTGCTGTGTACCACTTGATCTGCCTCTGTTACTGATTCAGTTACATGGGGTTGCTTCTGAATGTGACGTTTCGTTTTCCCTTTTGGGAAAGGTGCTACCTTTGAAATGGGGATGGCAGTTTCTCTTCTGGGTCTAGTTCATCCTCACTTGTGGGGACTGATATTAGTGTTTTCAGCAGTGTAGGCTAAGGACTATGGTTACCAGAACGATGATGAGTAAAGGGGAAAAGTAGTTTAAAATTTTGATTGTACATTCCATCTTGTACTCAGCTTATGGAATTAGAGATTATTTATGGGTCTTACATAGCCTTTGTTAGATTGGTTTGCTTGGGCTTGATTCTTCCAAGCTTGGTTTTCTAAGGATTTGAAAATTTGTAAATCTTTGGTTTTAAGTACAAATTAAAAAACGAATAAATAAAAAAAATTAAAATCTGTTTCGAGCTGTTTACTAAGCATTTTTTTCTTTAATTGTCCACCTGCTCAAATTGAAAACTTTTTGAGTATATATATGAGAAGATGGTTTATGTCTTGTACTCAGCTTATGGAGCTAGAGTTTATTTTTTGCTCTTGTCTAGCCTTTGTTCATGTAGCTTGTAGATTGGATTATCTAGGCTTGATTCTTCCAAGCTTAGTTTTCTAGGGATTTGAAAAATTTGCAAATCTTTTGGTTGTTCAAGTTTGTGACGTGGATTGCTATTGTTTGGTTTCTAATTCTATCCTAGATTCCTTCCCCTCCTTCAGTTCCTTCTCAGTCTCTCTTAAGTAATGTCTAGTATTGTTGTACAGTTTCAAGCAAAGACGAGTTCCTTGCTCCAGAGAGTTTCATCATTGATCCTGTGGATTTGAATAGCTTTTTTGATGATGATGATGGGAAAATTTATGGTTATGAGGGATTGAAGGTCAGATTCATTTGTTTTGTAATTAAAGTATTTGAATGGTTCATGGTCAACAATGTCTTATTTTACTCTTCTTTTACAGATTACCATCTGGGTTAGTAGCATATCTTTTCGTACATATGCTGATATTACATTCCAGAGTTCATCTGATGTAAGTGCTGCATTCTTTTAGACTAATTGAAAATAATATGGATAAACTCCTTTTACCTTACTGATTGGCATAGAATTTTCTATTGGTTTTGGTTGTTACATAATTGCTTTGACACTTCCATAACCATGCTGTTTCATTGCTCTTAGAAAGGCAAAGGGGTCACAGATCTGAAATCTGCTCTTCAGGTTGGCATCAACATCCTTTGTGAGACCATTATTTTATACCTTTTACCCATGACTCATAAAACTTAGTTTGTTATTTTATACAGAGAATTTTTGCTGATACTCTTGTTGAGAGCAAAGATGCTTTCCTTCAAACATTTATTTCGGATAATGGTTTTGTTAGGTATTGTATGTTGATTACTCTTTGTAGTTTGTACTCTAAACAAAGCCTCATTTTGTACTTATACTGTTTCTTTTATTTTAATATATTAATTGAAATTTTTTATTTTTGAAAAGTAATACTGTGGATGCGAACTTTAATTGGTTTACAGAACATCGATCTCAAATGGGGAGGTTTTGAAGCACAAAGCTTTCAATGGGATTATTGGTGATTGTAATAGGCATGCTGATTCAACTACTTCTGACATTGAGGTTGTATTTACGTTTAGGCTCAATATATTTTATTATAGATGGTAAAAATTAAGTTGCTTAAGTCTGCATATGCATATTTTAGTGGCATTTTTCAGAATGGAATATTATATTAATGTCTAACTCCTAGAACAGGCTGTTCGTATGGTGGTAGGAAACATGACTACTGGGCACCTTTACAGTCGTCTAATACCCCTTGTCCTTCTTCTTGTTGATGGTAATTTTTACCTGTTTTAGTTTTTCATAGTATTGTATAATGTAAACTCTTATTTTACATGAAACTTTAATTAAATCTTTAGAATGTAGTTTTTTACTTTCTCTGTTTGTCATATAGGTAGCAGTCCTATTGATGTTACTGATCCGAGTTGGGAGTTGTATCTTGTGATTCAGAAGGAAACTGATCTGCAAGGAGAGATGCAATGCAGGTTGATTGGTTTTACTGCTGTCTATCGATTTTACCACTATCCTGATGGTTCTCGATTGCGACTGAGTCAGGTTTGTCATATTCTTGACATTCGGGAATAGCTGCTAGACCCTCAAAACCAATGTTAACCTTTAAAAATGCTCTTCATAATATTCTGAAGTTCTTCTTTTTGTCATTTTTTTATGAGCCGTCTGTTGATGACATGGCAGATATTGGTATTGCCTCCTTACGAGCACAAAGGGTATGGTCGGTTCCTTCTGGAGGTGCTAAATGATGTTGCCGTATCTGAAAATGTTTTTGACTTGACAGTAGAAGAGCCGTTAGATCACTTTCAACATGTCCGCACATGTGTTGACGTACTTCGCCTGCTTCGTTTTGACCCAATCCAAAATTTAGTTAAGGTTGCTGTTTCACTTCTAAAACAAGGAAAGCTGTCAAAGAAAACTCATCATCGTCTAATGCCGACTCCCTGTGCTATTGAGGATGTCAGGGAAAGTCTGAAAATTAACAAGAAGCAGTTTCTCCAGTGTTGGGAGGTTTTGATATACCTTGGCATTAATCCTGTTGACAAGCACATGGATAACTTTTTGAGCATTATTTCCAATCGTGTGAAGTATGATATCTTTGGGAAAGATTCTGGTCCTTCCGGGAAGCAACTTATTGAAGTTCCAAGTGATGTTCAACAGGAGGAGTCTTCATTTGTCATGTTCAGATCAGGAGCTAACGAAGCTAGTACTGTGCAAATGGATGACAACCAGACAAACCAAGAAGAACAACTGCTGAAGTTAGTTCAGGATAGGGTGAAAGAAATACAATTGATTGCAGAGAAGGTAGCTAGCTCTCCCTCTTGAGATCACAAACGTGGCTGTAAATTGAACTTTGTCCTTCACAAGATAGCATGAATGACAAGCTTATGTCTCTATGATCTTGTTTGGTTGTTTTTCTATTGGACAATCATACTGCTATATAGTTATCTTGGTTGACATTTCTGAATTCTGATATCGGTAAACAAAGAAGATTCCCTGGAAGCGCAATCAATACTGTATTTTGGCTCTTTTTACCAGGCTGTAGTTAAAAATCTTTCATCTTAGGCTGTAAAGGAACCATGTGAAGTAGTTGGTATTTCTTACTATCATCAAATGACTGATTGATCTCAGAAAAACTGTGTTAAAGCCAGAGTTTAGAAACTTTTTACATGTAGACAAAATAAAGCCAATGCTCGTGTTACAAAAGGTTCTTCTTGTTTTTAAATTTCAAGTGATAATGGAAGATCCAATTACGAATAAATATTTGTGAAATAAAACGGGATGATGCAACAATATTCAAATTTTCTCTCGTTACTGCAAATGGACACTTGATACTCGAAAATTCCGTACATAATGGACTTAATTTGTTAAAGTTTTGTAGATGGACATTCTGTTTTCTTTTCGAAATTAGTTAGAAGTTTTCTTTAGAATGCACAATCACTAAAGAATTGATTTATTTTTTCAAAAAAAAAAAAAAACTAATAGCCCTCTCATCACAGTTGGTCTACCCGAGATATAAAAAAGCTAAGAACAAAACAGACAAGCACACTCGTTCGGCCCTATAATATTTACCAGTCCAATAGTCTTTCCGTTTGGCGACAATGGGCCACTAATTATCTAGTTATTAGCAAAATATATCTCAAATAATTAGAGATAGAAACAACTTCATAATTAATTTTATACATAACATAGAAAATTACACAACTTGGGAACAGAAGACCAAACTTAAGCCCTTTACAAAAGAACTGACCTTTCAACATAGTAAATTATGGCAGCACTCATATTTCAGACTCAAGAACTTACTACTTCCTAATCACATGCTAAGAATTTAGAAGACATTAACCTCACATGACTATCTCTGGCTTCAGAATGCTTGATTTGATCTCCTTGTGGGGCAAAACCACACCACCGTTGCTGTAAACTTCATCACATACATGTACATCTTCTCCAAGGATAGTCATATTCTCCACACGAGCCCATTGCCCAACAGTGGAATGCCACCCGATGATGCTGCTTGATATGCAAGAATGACTTTTAATCCGAACTCCTCGCATCACTGTGCAGCGTGAAAGCCTGACCCCTGACTCAACAATACAGCCAGGACCGATTGCAACATCAGGTCCAATGAGACATCCCTCGCCAATTTTGGCAGTCTCGTGCACAAGGACATTCCCCACAATGTGAGGGCCACTGGCCAACATAGAAGGAGTCTTTTTCCTCAGTGAGTCCAGGTAGAGTGTCAGGCCAGAAATATAATCCCTTGGTTGTCCAATATCCATCCAGAATCCTGGCAGGACCATTGCATAGAGCTTTTTCTCAGCTGCAATATTTGGAAACACCTCTTTCTCGATGGAAGTGGGCCTCAGTTCAATTCGATCCAAAACTGAGGGGTTCAATAGGTAGATTCCAGCATTGATTTTGTTACCAACAAACAACTTGGGTTTTTCTACAAATTTCTCAACCTGCCCGGTGGTCTCCTCCATCACAACCACACCATATTTTGATGGCTCATCAACCTACACAAGTAGATGAAAAAAGATATAGAATGTTCTAATTAGCAATAAACTTTCATTCGTGTTTTTTTTTTCCAATTTTGTTACCTTTGTCACCATTATGGAAGCCTCCCCTCCATGGGCTTTGTGGAATTCAATCATTTCTTTAAGCGGGTACTCACTGATAACATCACTGTTGAGAACAAAAAATGGCTCTCCAGAGTCATCTATCAGCTTATCCCTGGCAAGAGCCAAGGGACCTGCAGTCCCCAGTGGTTCAGTTTCTTGAGAACAAGTGATTTTGATGCCGAGCTTTGCTTCAAAATCCTTCAAGAAATTCAACATCACCTGCAAGAGGAAGTTTTAAGGAAGTCAAAATAAAGAAACTTTATCCACATAAATATCTTTAAGCATTGACTACTTCGTGTGGTAAGGAGAGGCACAATCCTTACCTCTGGTTGGTAATTGATAGCCAGCACCACTTCACTAACTCCAGTGGCCTTAAGAGCCTCTATCTGTAAAACAAGTATAATAAAAAGGTTACTCGGTAGGATGGTTTATTAAGCCATATTAAGACAAATATACGCAAAGGACACAAATACATATTCAAGTCATGCACCCATACATACTTACAAACAGTTATAGGATGGTGATGGGAACAAAATACAAAGCAAGCAGAAGAGGCAGTCCATATTAAATGAATTTCAAAATCCCTTCTCAAGCAAGCAAGTACGATACAATCAAGAAACACTGACAAAACCCACACCTTATCCACCAAAAACAGATTAATGGTGGGAGAAACGGCTAATGAAAGCAATCTAAATTAACTCAAATTTAGAGAATCTGTACTTTAACATACTAAAATGGAAGAACTATATAAATCCATTATTTTGTCAAGTTTTGGAACCATTCTTAGCACCAGGATTCTGATTCAAATAACAAAAGAAGTTGCTTTTTCTGGTCATATATCTAGAGAACAGTGTTACACAACCAGAAAAAAATTAGCCAGAATTTTGACAAAATTCAGCTAGATTTAAGGGTAGTCGTTGGATAAGGTAAAATGGTACAAACAACTCATCAATCTTAAGAGTCAATAAACATTCCAACTAATTCTGTCAAAATTCTGGCAAAAAAACTCCGGCATGTAGCATTTCCCCAAAACTTTGACTGATCTATGATATCTAGAAGAAAATATAACACACAGGCTATTCAAAAACAAATCCTATCCCTAATTTACTCATGTAACGTAACAGATGTAAGACTTCTAGAAAAGAGGCTTCAAAAAGCTTTACCTGATGCAAAATCATGGGCTTGTTAGCAAAATCAACAAGAGGCTTAGGAACACTGAGTGTCAAAGGCCTCAGCCTTGTTCCAAACCCTCCAACCAAGATCAGCGCCTTCATTGTGATATGGCCCTTTGCTTTTCCAGTAAACTATAAATTTAGAAGCAGATCAAGCCAACAGAGAACACAATTCCAAATATGAGAAAATAAAATTCCACCCCGTCCTATAAATATACATGCCAGGAAAGAAATAACTTGCACGGAACTCTTCATGACATTTGAAAAAATAAAACAACTGGCAAAGAATTTGCACCTGAGCTGACGGGTGTTCTGAGGAGCGTGACACGATGCAGCTAAAGATGATAACTGAAATAAAAAGAAAAGAAAAGAAAAAACAGTCTGTCAAAGAAGCTTAAGACACAAGACCCCTAAAAATTAACACTAGTCCAAAAGAAGCAACAAAAAGATCAAATTATGTGTCATTACAAGAACATCGATCTAGAAGGAAAGTAAAATTGAAGCACAAGATTTAGTTGGATATGAAAACAAAGACAAAATCCAGCTATACACAGGCACTAAATTTTAATGAGAATGACAAAAACGGTTTAATCCCGCAGAAGGTTGATCCATAAATTATGTCATATCTTAAGAGGAATCATGGTACAATGTAAAAATTTTGGTGTTCTGCTGACAAGTCTGAGGCTATTTCCTTCTTTCAATGTATGGAGATTTTCTCTATCTTTCATAGTAACAAAATCTCCACTTGTATTACAAAAAAAAAAAAAAAATCTCCACTTGAGAAGCCTTCAAAATAAAGTGCATTGCATTGATTCCGCATTAGAGAACCAAATATGCTATAGGGACATTATGTTTGGCTACTAAGGAAAGAAATATGTAAAAGAACATTAATTCACTAATACCAAACAGTCACCTTTTGCTACATTGCCTACTCTGTCAACAAACTTTGAATTAGAAACAATAAAAATTCAGGAAATTAGTCTTAAATATATATAACAGGTCAGATCACATGCACTGGATAGAAGTAGACAAGTAGAGTTGAGTCTACAGACATCACCATGGTGAAAAAGGTTTCTTCTTTATATTGTTTTCAGGAATAAAGTAAATTTGAAGCGTAAGGTTTAGTATGATATGAAAACAAAGACAAAATCCAGCTATACACAGGCACTAACTTTAATGAGAACGACAAAAACGGTTTAATCCCGCAGAAGGTTGATCCATAAATGGTATCGTATCTTAACAGGAATCATGGTACAAGGTAAACATTTTGGTGTTCTGCTGACATGTCTGAGGCTATATCCTTCTTTCAATGTATGGTGATTTTCTATATAGCTTTCATAGTAACAAAATCTCCGCTTGAGAAGCCTTCAAACTAGAGTGCATTGCATTGATTCCGCAATAGAGAACCAAATACGTTACATATAGGGACATTAGGTTTGGTTACTAGGGAAAGAAATATGTAAAAGAACAGTAATTCACTAATTCCAAACAGTCACCTTTTGCTACATTGCCTACTCTGTCAACAAACTTTGAATTAGAAAAAATAAAATTTACAAAATTAGTCTTAAATATATATAACAAAAGATTGAGTCAGGTCAGATCACATGTACTGGATAGAAGTAGAACAGGTAGAGTTGAGTCTACTGACATCACCATGGTGAAAAAGGCTTCTTTATATTGTTTTCAGGAAGAGGGGGAAAAAAAAGCTTCTTCTTTATTCTGTTTTCAGGAATAAATTTCTCAAAAAGAGCATATATGGGAAAACATGGCTTTTTGACCCTTCTAACCCTTAATTAATAACTAATTACCAAATTGCCCTTCATTCAAAACTATTTCGAAAATTTACCCTCCCCAACAAACATAACACCAATCTGCCCCTGTTTGACCGTTGACCACGAAGCCTACCCGGGTACACCATTACCTACCCGGGTAAATTTTGAAACTTTTTATCTACCCGAGTATGTAGGGGTGTACCCGGGTAGAGTTCTTGAATCTGGGAAAATGTTTGAATTATTTACCCGGGTAAGTAGTAGTGTACTCGGGTAAACATCGACGGTAGGGTTTTAAAATACCCCAGCAACCCCATTTCGAAAACCCACAAAAGGGGTACCCGAGTAGAGCTGCTGGAGGAGTGTCTTCTTGAGCGATTTCAGGCATAATCTTGCACCAATTCGTCTTGTTTCTGATCATCATTCGCGGACCTTGCAACCTCTCTGCCTTCTACCGATTGAAATCGATCAAAGGTGCATTTTATTTTCAGTTTTTTCAATTATGTTATGATTTCTGTTCTGATTCATTGTATTTTCGTTTATATCATTTGATTCTGTCCGAATTATTTTATCAATTTGTATGTCATACGCTTACCCTAACCCTAACCCTGAATCTAACCCTAACCCTAACCCTAACCCTAACATGTATCTAATTTCTGATTTTGGTTATTTTTTCAGTTTAATAGTGTGACACAATGACCTCTCGACGCGTTTCAAAGCTGCCAGTGACCCATTCCGAGAGAAGAACCAAGAGTCGTCACGATGGGTCGTCATCCTCTCAGCCCCAGGCTGCTTCGAGTCAGGCTCCGGACTTGACGTTCGGATATTTGTTTGAGGATGACATACCTTCACACGAGAAGTTCGTGAAGTTTTTCATGACCCGGAAGATCTGCGAACCGAAATCACTGGATTCGGCATTCTTCAACCTAGAGCGTTTTGACATTGTGCCGCTTCTTGAGCAGACACATTTACTTCACCTGGCGGAGATGCGGTGCCCATACTCGGAGGTTATGGTAAGAGCCTTCTACCAGAACCTTGGCTACTCGCAAGGCGAGCTGACTTCCCGTGTCTGCGGGATTGATATCATCATGACTGCTCCTATCTGGACGAAGCTACTGGGGTTCGATTTTGATGGTGTCACAGGAGCAGCACTATATGATGGAGACAGCCATCATATATTTGGTGATTATAACCGGGAGACCATTGTTACAGAGACTAGGAGGGCAGACGCTGAGCCCGGTCATTTTGCTCATTATCCTGTTAGCAACTTGTCAGTTTCTGCTCGCATTCTTCATTATGTGGTGACACATATTATTTTCCAGCGCCCGCATAATCACTCAAAGGTGCTGGAAGGGGACTTTGTCATCCTGTGGGCCCTCCTTCACAGTCAGCAGGTGAACTGGAGGCATTACATATGCATACTGATGTGGAAGGCAGCCAAGTCAAAGAAGGCTGAATTGCCTTTTGCATTTCTGGTGCAGAAGATTCTGCATAGATTTGGAGTGCCTATGGCAACAGAGACCTTGAAGACCGCCAGAGGCTGGAATGCTATATTTGGTGAGAGGCTCCTGAAGCAGTGTGGGATCCTACCGAACAGAGCGGGTATCTGGACGTGGAAGAAGGCACCAGAATCACCTTGAGATCCCATTCCACCACGATGCTGAGATGGAGGATGCACCTGCAGGTGATGTGTTGGTCTTTATGAGTTTATGCAATTTTGTGTTGTTTAATTTTTAATGTGGTATTGAAGTTTGTTTTTCATGGTTTATGATGTAGGCCTTGATGATGATGACGATGATGATGGCGTTGCTGAGGTTGATGTCAGACCGACACGTCCCACCCGCAGTCGGCGACCACCAGCTCCTCCTGAGGGTGGATGGACACTTGATCATGTCATGGCATCCATATATGATCTGACTACTGACTTTAGAGGATATAGACAGAGCACGAGCAAGTGGCGAAACCAGATGGACACAAGGGTTTCACGCTTGGAGGGTTTAATTGGCGAGGGTGCCCATACTCAGGAGGAGGAGGAGGAGGATGATGACAATGGGGATGACACACAATCGGATGAAGAGAATGGGGAGGACACGCCATCGGATTAGTGTGTCCATAGGGTTTCATATCATTGATTTAGTTTGATGTAATGTAGTCATTTTGGTACATTTAGGAACTTTACCTACATTGCATGGATGTTTTTGTACTGGATGTTCAAAATTTGAATGAATGAAATTTTCGTTTTGCGCACGTTCAGACTTGTTGGTTCTATGCATTAGTATGGGACCTTGCATTAATATTGTCATAATTAATTTGGAAATCAATTCAACCCAAAGTACTTTAATATTCATGTTCAACTTTCATTGGCGCACATCTTGATTACTGCATCCTATTTCTACGAAATCAATCCACCCCCAAGTCATACCGTATGTAGGTATTGCACAACAATTACCAAAATGCAAAAAAAATTGCCAAAACAGCATCTGCAACAGCATCTGCAACTGGTCTACTCGGGTACCACGAACTGGTCTACCCGGGTAGGATGTACTCGGGTATATCATTATGAGTTACCCGGGTATGTGTTTTCTCAATGTAATCTCAATGTCCCACCAAGATTCAGCTTTCTGAAATGATGAGATGAAATATGTGTGATGTTTCGGATTAGAGAGGGTAAGAGAGAAAGATTTGGTGTTTCAAAAACCCTATACCTCGCAACAATGGCCGAAACCCATACATATTGGGGTTTCTGGACGCGATTTACCCGGGTACACTGCTCCTTACCCGGGTAAATAATTCAAACATTTTCCCAGATTCAAGAACTCTACCCGGGTACACCCCTACATACTCGGGTAGATAAAAAGTTTCAAAATTTACCCGGGTAGGCTTCGTGGTCAACGGTCAAACAGGGGCAGATTGGTGTTATGTTTGTTGGGGAGGGTAGATTTTCGAAATAGTTTTGAATGAAGGGCAATTTGGTAATTAATTATTAATTAAGGGGCATAAGGGTCAAAAAGCCGGGAAAACATACAAGGGAGAAATATTTATCTAGCTGAAGCTTATTTTTGGTCCTTTATCTAGCTGAAGCTACCTTTTACAAATAAACATGCACTATACGGATCTCCTAGGTCCATTGGGCTCAAGCGCAATAAGGTCAGCCCAGTTATGCATTGCTTATGAGAACAATTTATAACTTACATGCTACCTCTAGTCTCATACACTGCATTAGACATTTCAATAGTATTTTCTTTTTTAAATAATTTTCACCCCATATACTCTAAGTGCTTGAATTGAAGCAAAGGCACCAAACCCATGAAAATGGAAATGAAACTACTCAGTATATAACGCAAACCAACACAGACAGCTACAAAAGCTAGCTTTTACAAATAAACATGCACTATATGGATCTCCTAGATACATTGGGCCCAAGTTCAACAAGGCCAGCCCAGTTATGCATTGCTTATCATAAACTTACAAACTACCTCATATCTCATACAATGCGTCAGAAATTTCAGTATCATTTTTTCTTTTTAAATATTTTTCACCGCACATACACCAAAAGCGTGAATTTGAAGCAAAGGCACCAAATCCACGAAAATGGAAACGAAATTACTGAATAGATAAAGCAATCAAACACACAAACGCAGAAAGGAAACAACAACACCAGCACCAGATCTGAATAGTACACAATTTTCGTTCCCACTATTTAATTAACAAAATGAGATTCAAGCACATCACAAACACCTTGTGACCAAATTCAAAAATTCACGGGAATTCTCGGAAACAATAAGCACGAATTCAAACAGGAACCGAATAATTCAGAACCAGAACAAATGCAATGTACATTGTAAGATTCATTCACCTCAACACAATGACCCTAACTTCAACCGAAAATGAAGACAGAATAATCACCTTATACAAAATTCAGATCCGTTCGTTGGCGAATCAGAAACCCCCAAACTCGAGCGAGTCAACACGGCGAGTCAGGGTGGGTTCCGGAAGAAACAACCCAACGGAACGGTTCGGTTTGCGAGCTGTTACGATGGCGTTGGTCACCGCTCGTCATCTTCCTTATATACATGCGCGCCACCCAAACATAACTTCAACTTCGCATACTTTGTTCTTAATTGATTTAACTATTATTAGAATTAATTAATTAATTAATTAAATTAATTGAATTACCTTTTTAGTACCGTAAGGAACCTAAGGCCTTGTTTGTTGGTGCAGCGTCGGTGAGTATAGCTTTTGCAGTTTTGCCAACTTCGCGTTCTGTTGTGGGGTGGCTACTTTACTTTTCCAAACGAGTTTTTGTTTTACGCTAAGTTGATATTTCATTATTTCATTTTCTTCCTTCAATCTTCCCTTTTATTTCTTAATTATGGTGTTGTACTTCTAAGATAAAGGGAATTCTTAAATTAGGAAAAGAGGCTTAAGAAGAAACCACCACATGTTAACATTATTTCTCGACCGTAATAGTAGGTTTTTGGTCCAACCAGCCTATTCTCTCTTTTTTTTTTTTTTTTTTTTGAGTTACCCAACCCCAATTATCTCTTTGAGACGAGTTGGCTCCCTCCGGTATCCCACGAGCTTCGACTCTTTGAGCCGGCTATGGGACTAATCCGGAGTGCGGGAGAACAGTGATGACTAAAGGTTCAGCCCCCTCCCCAAGAATGCATTCAGCGGGAATCGAACACATATTTATTCTTCTTTCCTTTCTTTTTTGGTAAATTCTTTTTTCTTGTTTAGCCAAATGCAAAATCTGTTTTCATTTTGTTTTAAGTTGTTTTTTTATTGCTAATTAAATTAAGGGTTCATTTTTTTACCGTCATTGTAAATAATTTATCTACATTGAATCAAAAATAACATCGTTTTAGGGTAGAAATTATGGTATTTTTATAATTATAATTTATTTCAGTATTATAATAGTCTTTTTTATTATAATTTTTTAATTTTTCAACCCAAAACGACATCGTTTTAAGAGCAAATGTAGATAACTTATCTATATTCACCGTAGAAATATTAAAGCCTTAAATTAAATTATAAACTTTTCTTTTATTATTTTGATTATATAACATAGAAATCTTGTCTAAGTATGAGTAACTTCATGCGTTTATTGTTAGAGTTTTATTAATCTCATATTAAAGGAGATAAATTATCTCATGTTATAAAGACAAATTTATAAATTCCATCACCTGAAAAATAAAAAAATAAAAAAGAAAAAATAACACATTTATTGAAAGGTATATAGAAGAAAAAATTATTACATATAGCATAAGAATAATTTTTTCCTTATTATTAATGGGTTTAATGTATGGAAACTGAATCTCCTTGGGTTTAGAATTAGAAAACCAAGGCTTTGTGAAAAAATAAATGGTGTTCAGCTAAGTTTCTTTTCTGTTTTCTTTAAATTGCAGCCAAAGATATCAAGAGGTTCATGTAATTGATAAAGCTAAGCATTGACTTTTGACTTTTTCCTTTGACAAAATAGCAAGTCATAAATCTGGTTATTCGGCAGCATAGATTTTATTCCGCCGCATAGTTGTGATAAAGTATAACATTATTTAAATAAAAATTAAGAAAAAAAATATATGTGAAATATTTGTTAGAAGAAGGACATAGAATTATTCTCTTACTATTCAAATTAATCATGGTACATAGAATGATAATGGTTTTAAAGAAAGGATATAATAATTGGTAAAAAAAAAATCACGAAATAGCCTTTTTTTTATGATTCGGAAGACTATTTTCTCGTTAGAACAACGTATACATTAAATTATACCACCGGAGAAAAGATAAAGCTAATCATCTACTAAGAATGAACCTTTTTTCACTTACTCTTAAAGAATTTCAAAAATTTGTATTACTTAAGAATCGAACTATCTAAACAATGCAAATTCCTGGACATTCCAATTCTCCGGTTGAGCTAAGAGTTCAGGAAATAACTTTTTTAGTACATTATGTTTAGAGTGAATCAATATTAACCTCTCCATTTTAAGACATTCATAAATTTGAAGGCAACTCATATAGTTAATATAAACAAAAAGTTAACTAGGTGAGCTAATTCCAAAATACTTTCAATATGACATAATATTTAATAATATGTCAAATGTAACTACATAATATAGTTATAATTTAAAATAGAAATAATAAATACTGGTCTAATATACCTTCGATTTGAGTCGGTTTGGTGTCAAACGTTTAAGGGAAAAAAAAAAGGATTTAAACTTCTCCTTTAACAAGAGAATAGAAATCATTCCTACACTAACATCGAATTCTGTGCTAAACCTTTTCTTTTTTATATATTTTTTAAAACTGGCGGGACCCATAAATTATGTTTCAGTCGCATGAGATATCACTTCTACTATAAAGGAGAAGTGTTTTGCCAAAAAAAATAAAAAAAATATCCATTTAAAAGTTACGGCACCACATGTTAATTTCATTTATTATTTTTATAATCGTATTTATAGGACTACAAATAAAGAATCACTAAAAATAATAATAAATTTGAAATCAAATTTTTTTAATTGTCGTTATTTAATCCTAGCTGTTAAAGCAACTATTATAAACAATAATTTTTTATTCTTCTTCTATTCAATTTTAAAACACTTTTATATGCTTTAACTATATATTACGAAAAAATAAAATAGGAACGTAGTGTTAATACAAATTTCAAGCACCACTGAAGATTCTGTTAATCTCAAATTTAGTTCATATTACTCTTATTATTTGAGCCATTTAAAACATAATTAACCGGGTGATTTTGGGTAGAATTAAATTGGAGCCTAGTCATTGTCATTTCTAGCCACATGTGTGAATCGCAATTTTCACGTGGCGTAGTTAAGCTGTCAGAAAACTGGTTGGTTTCGCAGCACATTGATGAGTCCAATTCATATGCATTTTCTTCCAATGAAGAAAAATTCTAAATCTTCATAATGAATCACTTAATTTGAATAACTTAGCGCAAGTGCCAGCAATGAATTTAGTACAGTACGAGCAAGAGCAAGTAGCAACCTTCTCTTCTGGCAAAAAGTTGACACTCCAATTGCTATGTTATAAATTAATTAATGTTACTTCTCCTAAGTTTTTCTAATCTAAATATTTTAAATCATGTTGTATTTAGCAAATGATTAGGTGTCAAGGACATGGACGTGCCTTAAATTAATGCACATTACTGATAGTCCGTCAACTTCCTCATTAAAATATTTTTAATTATTAATTAAATTTGCTTTTTAACTTATGTAAAGTAACATAAGAGTTTAAAAAAATTATATAATTAATTAAATAATTCTATGCATATATGGAACACATGTGTATATAAGTAAAAAATAAATAAATTTGGTAGCCTGTATACAAGTACATTTTAATAATGGAATAAATTCCAATAAAAAGTTTTTGACCCTTTGACAAAATCAGTCCCACAAAAATCATTTTCAACATCAATTACTTGCTTAGTTGATTATTTATTTATTTATGTAGTTAATTGCTTATTATTATAAATTGAATTATCTCATGTATGATTTAATATGACCATATTATATGAGTCAATTTTAATTATCCATAAACAAATCAATGTGGATTTCCACATATCATGTGAGTTAATTTCAATCGTTCATAAACAAATCAATATAGATTCCAACATGTCATGTTTTAGTATATATGCATCAATAAAAAATAAAATATAAACAAAAAACAACAACGACGACGACAACCATATTCCCCATTCACCAAAGACCGAAAGACAAATATTATTTATCCTGTGGTGGCTAGTTGGTAGCATGGGGACTGAGTGGTGGGAGAGAACCTCGGTTCGAATCCCACCAACACTATATGGGGAGGAACATAAGTACCGTAATCCTTGGACTCGCACCCGAACTCTGGATTACTCCCATAGGCAGCTCAAAAAGTCGAACCCGTGGAGACACCAGAAGATTCTGATTCTCCTCAAAAAAATAATTAGGATCAGTTTAAAAAAAAAAGACAAATATTATTTATACAGACATTGGGCGAAAAGTCCTATGAATTAAAATAAAGATATTGAAAGGTGAGGTAAAATATAGTAACTTATGTTCTTACTTTAACAACACAAATTGAAACTGAAACAATCCCCCAGCCAAGTATTGAAAGTGGAAACTCTCGACTATACAAAATAACCAAAAAATTAGACTAAACCATGAACCGAACCAAACCGCCCCATAAAATAATCAATTTTTAAAAACCAGTTCATGAATCGATCGGTTTTTAAAGAATTAGTTCATGAACTAAACCGATTTTTAGAATCGGTTTAAGAACCGAACCGGTTTTTATAACCGATTTAAGAACCGAACCGAACCATTTTCAAAACGAACCAAATTAATTTTTATAATTTTATTTTTTAATTTTTTGATTTTTTTTCATTTCAAAAGAGGATTAACCCGAACCGGTTCTGAACCGAACCACTTTCGAACCGAACCATTTGAACCAATTCGGTTCGGTTCGATCCATGCACATCCCTACTCTCGACGTTGTTTAGTCTCTCACACATGACACTTTCGTAATCAAGTTATTCTTTACGGCATGCCGTCCATCACCGTCCGTATTGCAGTCTCCAACATAATAAGTATAGTATATAGAATCTCTCTTCCTCGCTTCCAGGCTCTATAAATATGTTCATACATAAACATTGCCACATCACTAACAAGTTAAGATTGCCCTACATTTAACCCTTAGTCATAACAAAGAAACTAAATTTTTCTTGTATGGCTCTTTCACCACTTAGCATGCTTGTGGTCATTGCCACCATATTCCTCCCATCCATTGCTATGTCCAAGGAATTTGTAGTTGGGGATGATCATGGATGGAATTTAGAGTATAATTACAATACTTGGGCTGCAAACAAGACCTTCATGGTTGGCAACAATCTTGGTAAGCTCACTTCATCCAATTATATATAGTTTGTTTATGCTAAGGGAAAGATATGGTAACAACCAATTAGTGTTACTATCAATGTTATTAGGCTTTAATATTTCAACAGTGAATGTAGATAAGTTATCTACATTCACTCCTAAAATGACTTCGTTTTGGGTTAAAAAATTAAAAAATTATAATAGGAAAGACTATTATAACCATGAAAAAAATTATAATTACAAAAACATTTTGATTTTCACGCCAAAATAACGTCGTTTTGGGCTCAATGTGAATAACTTATTTACATTGACTGCAGAAAAAATAAACCCATGTTACTATCAATTAATTTCACCTTTTAGCACATCATGGTGTCATGCTTATTTCTTATTAATAGTATTTTTCTTTATTTCTGTTTTATGCCAGCTCATACTTTTGGTTGCAACAACCTTGCACTACTTACGGATATAGCACAAGATGAGCACTCTCATTCTGTTAGAGTTTTTTTCTCTTGGTTATATTTTGAGTATAACCTCTTATGTGTAATTCAGTTGAGACAATTTTGGAATACAATGCAAATTATTTCTTCTTCTTCGTTCTCTGTTTTCCAGCTTTCATGCTCTGATAATCAATATGGTATCAGATGATATTTTTTAGTTTTCTCTTCTTTCATGGCGCGTGGTAACACTAATCGTCCTCCACCCGCTGCTAGCTCTGCTTCTTCTTCTGTTGTTCATCTTTCTCCTATCATGGAGGATGTTTCTAGTCCCTACCACCTTACAAATGCCGATCATCCAGGCATCATTCTCGTTCCTCATTCTCTGCTTGGACCTAATTATAATTCTTGGCGCCGATCCATGTTTCTTGCCTTAACGGCTAAGAACAAATTGTCATTTGTTGATGGTTCTCTTCTTCAACCTACTGCTAATGATCTTCTTTTTTCTTCTTGGACTCGATGCAACTCCATGGTCACTTCATGGATTCTTAATTCTGTCTCGAAGGATATTGCGGACAGCCTGATGTATTTCTCCACAGCTTATGATCTTTGGGCTGATCTCCATGCCCGTTTTCATCAGGCAAATGGACCTCGCATATTTCAGTTGAAACAACAGATATCTTCTCTTCATCAAGGTGCTCTTGATGTTAATGGTTACTATACGAAGCTTAAAATTCTTTGGGATGAGCTTCACGATTACCTACCCACCCATCCCTGTACTTGTGGAGGTCTTCGCTCCCTTTCAACTTCTGTGCAACAGGATCAAGCACTCCAGTTTCTCATGGGGCTTAATGAATCTTTTTCTTCCATCCGTGCTCAAGTTTTACTGATGGAGCCTTTACCCAATTTATCCAAGGTTTTCTCATTGATTTTGCAAGAAGAAAGACAGAGGCAAATCTCTACCACAATGCCTACCCATCCTGAGACTCCTTTGATGAATGCTATTACTACTCCTGGTGTTCTTGGTGCTGCTCCAATAGGGACTCATCTCATGGCAGCCACCGTCTCCGCTCCTCGCCGCAACCGCCCATTTTGTACACACTGCAATGTTTCTGGTCATACCAAGGAAAAATGTTTTAAAATCCATGGGTTTCCACCGGGCTATAAGCCCAGATTCACTAAACCACCTTCACCTGTTTCGGCCCAAACCAATTTGGCATTTACCGGTCCCTCACCCAGGCCCAATGACCCTAATTCTTCATTTCCCCAATTGACCCATTCTCAGTACACTCAACTTTTAACCCTCCTGCATTCGAACCCTACATCACCGTCCTCACCTTCATACTCTTCTTCACCACCGACGGACTCCGCTTCTCCCACCATTGCCAGCTTCAGTGGTAAGTATTCCTCTTCCCCACCTTCTTCTTCGTGGGTTATTGATACGGGGGCAACACATCATGTTGCTTTCTCCCCTCTTTCATTTACTTCTCCTCTTTCCCCTTTTAATTCAATCGTATCTTTACCCACTGGTTCATGTATTTCAATTAATTCTAAGGGTTCAATTACTCTCTCTTCTTCACTGATTCTTCAAGATGTTTTGCTTGTTGAGTCGTTTTCTTTCAATCTTCTTTCTGTTAGTGCTCTCACGCGTGATTCTTCCATCACTGCTCATATTTTTGCTTCTCATTATTCTCTTCAGGACCGCGTCTCTCAGAAGACGATTGGGATTGCTAACAGACTCGGTGACCTCTATGTTTTGGATGCTACATCTCTTTTTCCCAGTTATCATGTTTCCCCATCCCTCTGCTTAAATGTTTCGATGCATTCTTTTAGTTTATGGCATTCTAGGCTAGGCCATCTCTCTTTTCCTATTTTGCATCGTTTAAAGAATACTTTATCTTTTAATGATACTGCATGTTCCTCCTTCCATTGTAATATCTGTCCACTAGCAAAACAGAAGAGATTGCCTTTTATTTTGAATCCTCAACTTTCCTCTTCTACTTTTGATTTGTTGCATTGTGATATTTGGGGCCCTTTTAACCCAATTTCTGTGGATGGTTTTCGTTATTTCCTAACTATTGTTGATGATGCATCTCGGTTCACATGGATTTGTTTTCTTCACAATAAAAATGAATTTTCTGTTATCTTTCCTCAATTTCATTCTTTGATTTTTACTCAATATAAAAAATCCATTAAAGCTATTCGTTGTGATAATGCCCCTGAATTTAGCTTATCTGCTTTTTTGTAACCAAAGGCATTCAAGTTTTTCATTCATGTGTGGAAAGACCACAACAGAATTCTATTGCGGAACGAAAACACCAGCATCTTTTAAATGTTGCTAGAGCTCTGCATTTCCAATCCCAGGTCCCTCTTTCCTATTGGACTGATTGTGTTCAAACAGCTGCATATCTTATCAATCACACTCCCTCTCCACTTCTGCAAAACAAAACTCCTTTTGAATTACTTTCCCACAAGGTTCCCACTTACTCACATCTCAAGGGTTTTGGTTGCCTTTGCTATCCTTCCACCCTTCTTCGTGGACGGCACAAATTTTCTGCTCGTGCTCTTCCAGCTGTTTTCCTTGGTTATCCTTCTGGTTTCAAAGGATATAAGTTACTTGATCTGGCCACCAACCGAATAGTTGTGTCTAGGGATGTTGTTTTTCATGAATCTATTTTCCCTTTTGCTTCTGCTTCACCATTGGTAACTCCTATTCCTTCTTCCACTACAGTACATACCACTGAAGCTGCCTTATCTCACCCACCCCTCACTGCCCGAATCAGAAAACCACCTCCTCACTTATTGGACTATGTTTGCACATCCACAGCCCATCCCATCTCTAATTTTCTTTCTTATACCAAGCTTTCTCCACCACATCATGCTTTTGTTAATGCACTGTCTTCTCATTTTGAGCCTTCCACATATTCGGAGGCATCCCAACTTCCTGAATGATGTGCTGCTATGGCTGATGAAATCACTGCTTTGGAGCACAATAACACTTGGAAAATCGTTTCTCTTCCTGATGGTAAGAAGCCCATTGGTTGCAAATGGGTATATAGGGTGAAATATAACTCCAATGGCACTCTTGAAAGGTATAAAGCCCGCTTAGTGGCTAAAGGATATTCTCAGCAGGAGGGTATAGATTTCTTGGAAACTTTCTCTCCGGTTGCTAAAATTATAACTGTCCGAGTTATCCTCTCTCTTGCTGCTATTTATAATTGGCATTTGATCCAATTGGACGTTAATAATGCTTTTTTGCATGGTGACCTCATTGAGGAGGTGTATATGTCTTTGCCTTCGGGTTATACTCAACAGGGGGAGTCTCTTCCTCCCAATGCAGTATAAAGACTCCAAAAATCACTTTATGGACTCAAACAATCCTCCAGACAATGGTTCTCAAAACTGTCCAGCACCTTAACTTCAATTGGTTTCCAGCAGTCTACTTCGGATCATTCTCTTTTTACCATGTTTACAGAATCTTATTTTGTTGCTATATTGGTTTATGTTGATGATATACTCCTTGCTTCTAATGATTCTGCTGTTTTGCATACTTTGACTGACTCTTTGAACAACAAGTTTCGTTTGAAGAATCTTGGTGCCCTCAAATATTTTTTGGGACTTGAGGTGGCTAGATCTCATCGTGGCATTTTTTTTAGTCAACGTCAATATATTCTCAACATTCTACAAGATTCTGGTTCCCTTGGTTGCAAGCCTCAATCAACTCCAATGGAAGCCAACTTAAAACTATCTTCTGATTCTGGAGAGCTCCTTTCTGACCCTACTTCTTACAGACGCATAATTGGCAAGCTGCTCTATTTGACAATCACACGCCCTGATCTGTCCTTTGCTGTTAATAAACTCAGCCAATACATGTCCGCACCTCGGGTTCCCCACATGTTGGCTGTACAACGCATACTTGCTTACCTGAAATGCACTGCTGGAAAAGGTCTTTTATTTTCTGCCAATTCATCTGTTCAACTTAATGCCTTCTCTGATTCTGATTGGGCTACATGCCCTGATAGTAGGAGGTCTGTCACTGGTTATTGCATATTTTTGGGAGATTCGCTTATATCTTGGAAATCAAAGAAACAGAGTACCGTCTCTCGTTCTTCTGCTGAGGCCGAATACAGGTCTATGGCCAATGTTACTTGTGAACTTCTCTGGCTGTTTATGTTGCTGAAAGATTTACATGTGCCACATCCTACACCTGCCCATCTCTTTTGTGATAATCAGGCTGCTCTCCATATCGCTGCCAATCCGGTCTTTCATGAGCGCACCAAACACATTGATATTGACTGCCACATTGTGAGGGAGCAAATCATCAAAGGACGACTTCAAACGTTTGTTGTTCCATCTGCCCAGCAACTTGCGGATATACTGACTAAAGCATTATCTCCTGGTTTATTTTTTTCACTTCTTTCCAAGATGGGAGTGCTCAATATACACTCTCCATCTTGAGGGAGAGTTTTAGCACATCATGGTGTCATGCTTATTTCTTATTAATAGTATTTTTCTTTATTTCTGTTTTATGCCAGCTCATACTTTTGGTTGCAACAACCTTGCACTACTTACGGATATAGCACAAGATGAGCACTCTCATTCTGTTAGAGTTTTTTTCTCTTGGTTATATTTTGAGTATCACCTTTTATGTGTAATTCAGTTGAGACAATTTTGGAATACAATGCAAATTATTTCTTCTTCTTCGTTCTCTGTTTTCCATGGCTTTCATGCTCTTATAATCAATATCACTGTTAGATCGATTATGTTGATCCAATGGATATATTTCCATCTTTGTATTGTTATGATTTTCCATATTTAATACTTTATATTTATTTCCATCTTTTTGTATGATTATATTTTCCCATATTTAATGCTTTCACATTACATATGGGGAATCATAACCATACAAAGATGAAAATAAATATAACCGTTGGATCAACATAATCGATCTAATGGTGAAATTGATTGTTAGTAACACTAATTGGTTGTTATAATATCCTACCCCTATATTTAATGTGAAAGCATTAAATATGAAAAATTATAACCATACAAAGATGAAAATAAATATAAAGTATTAAATATGGGGAATCATAACCATATAAAGATGGAAATAAGTATAAACGTTAGATCAACATAATCAATCTAACGGTGAAATTGATTGGTAGTAACACTAATTGGTGTTACAATATTCTTTCCCTTTTTTATAATAGATTAAGAGCCAAATTATTTTATCCGAACTGATTCAAAAACCCAAAAAAATCGAATCGATTCTTTTTATTTTCCTTAATTACTAATATTTTATCTTTGGGTTCACTTTTTCTATAATCAATGTAGTTAAGTTATTTACATTAAGTCTAAAATAATGTCGTTTTGAGGTGAAAATCAAGGTATTTTTGTAATTATAATTTATTTCATGGTTATAATAGTCTTTCTAATTATAATTTTTAAATTTTTCAACCAAAAATGACGTCATTTTGGAAGTGAATATAGATAACTTATCTATGTTGTAGAAACATTAAAGCCTTTATCTTTTTACCTTAAAACCAGTTTGAATTAAAATCATTTTGTAAAAAATAAAATCAATTTAATTCACCGAACCAAACTACTAAATTGATTCGCATGGACATAAAAACCGAACCGTGTCCACTCTAACTTTCATAACAAATGCTTACAAAGTTAAAAGATTATGTATAAATTGTTGGGAAGGGATATACTTATCATAAAAAAAGTATATCACTCTTACAACCAATTTAATCATTGTTGATTTTTGTCAATCTAATGATTATAATTTATTGGGAATTAATAACATTTATTATGTCACACTTATTAATTAATTATTAATTCAATATAAATTATAACTGTTAGATTTGTGAAAATGAACGATAATTAAGTTGGTTGTAAGAGTGATAAACTTTTGTGGTGATAAGTGGATTGTGTTCCCTACATTCTTAATGTTATATTATTAATGCAAGAGGAGAATGAATGCTTCATAGTAATGCCCGATTTTTTTTGTAGTATTCAAGTATACTGTTGGACAACACAACGTGTTCAAAATGAATAGAACTGAATTCGAGAGCTGCACGATTCCTTCAGTAAACGAAGCATTGACTACTGGAGATGACAGTATTTTATTGGCAACTCCTGGAAAAAAAAATGGTACCTATGTGGTGTTTACCCTCACTGCCTTCTTGGGATGAGGCTTGTTATTACAGTCCAACCCCAAACACTGGCTCCAACTCTGCCACCATCACCTGCACCTCATGGTCTTTAGGTGCCTAAGAAGCTACGTAAAATGTTTCATTAAACTTCATTGTTGGTTTAATGTTTCTGTTTATTGGGTTTATGTTTTGAGAGAGTGACATTAGTGTAATGTTGGTACCCAGGGGTCCTCAAAATAAATTGTTGTTTTCTATTTCAAAATTCAAATGGAAGTTTGTGAATGCGCTTACAAGTTCAAGCCAACTTCCATTTAAATAAATTTGCAAATTTAAATTCCGATCTTTTATAACCTTCCTGATTTTAGTTTTTTTTTTTTTTTTGCAGATCCTTATTTGTCTTTTGGTTCAATATTTATATTAGGAATAAATACTCATTTAAGTCCCTAAAAAAAATATAGTCCCTATTTTAGTCTTTTACAAAAAAATTAGTTTCAAGGTTCCTGAAAAATTTAAAGTGGATCAATTTAGTTAAAATCGTAGTCTCTCACAAATTCAAAAAAGACCTACATTAGTCCATCAAAAAGACCAAAATAGGTCCACTTTGAATTTCATAAGAACCAGGTGACTAATTTTTTTTTTATAATGGACTAAAATGGGGACTGAATTTTTTGTTAGGGACCAAAAATGATATTTATTCTTATATTAGTTTGCAACGTAACAACGTACGAAAATGATTAAAACAACGTAGCAACGCAAATTAATTAGAGAAAAAACTTATTTTTCCTCCCCTATCACGTATCCATTCTCATGCTCTCTTCATCCTTTGTTTCCTTTTTCATTTTTATAAAAAGAGAGGATTGATTGCAGGTCTGACATTCTCAAATAAGTTAATATTTAGAGACGAGGCCTGCACTATGATTTTGCTTGCCTTCTGTATAGGTAGTGTTGACTTTTTTATTCACCACTATAAAATAGAATGATAATGTATGAATGTACTGTAGTATATTCTCATATTTGTTTTGGAGGATTGGTAAGATTTAGGGGGAAAATGATTGGTCAAACTATTGCCTGCAGCTTGTTATGGAAGCAATTAGATTATGAGCGGGTTCAAGCGTTAATTTAAACTTTCTTCACACACACAAAATTTGGGACACTAAATGTGCGGACATAAAAAAAATTTCCTAGCTCCACCAGTGTTTGAGGTTATGCAATTGAAATCCAACATTGATAATTATTTACATTAGTTGAGATAAATAAATGAAATTAAAGCAATTGCAAAACCTTGGAATATCTGATATTTCAGCTTAGCAGGACAAGGATATAAAACTGAGTTTGCAAATTGTGTTTTCCCGCAGAACTTTCTTTTCATTCAGTAAAGGTAATACATTTGCATTTACAAAACAAGGGCCTAAAACTCCAAATCTCACTGCCTAACAACAACAAATACAATCATAAGCACAAACAAAACCCAAATAACACCATCAGACAAGTAGATAACTTTACACTGCCATTAGTAACATAACAACCAAAGAAACTACTTCTCCACCTCCTTTGCCGAGGCAATAGTAATGATATACTCAATCTCCGCAGATACCTCTTTCATTGAAGGTCGATTCTGTCTCTTTTCCTCCAAGCAGCCCAAAGCCAGAAATGCCAATGCCTTCATTGTGTCTAGCTCTATAGTGGTAGCTCCATTCTTCAACATTGGATCAATGACTTCTATCAACTTTTCTTCTTCCACCATCCTCTGCACATAAACTGCCAAATTCACATCATCTGGTGCCCTATTAAAATCTATTGCCTTCTGTGCTGTCAAAAGCTCAAGTAGCACCACCCCAAAACTGTAAACATCACTCTTATCAGTCAATTGGTAGTTCCTGTAATATTCAGGATCAAGGTACCCAAGTGTGCCCTGAGCACAAGTAGAGATATGACTCATATCAGTTTGAGCCAACCTAGATAACCCAAAATCCGAAACCTTGGCATTAAGCTTAATATCCAGCAGAATGTTGCTGGATTTGACATCTCTATGATATATAGGAGGCACAGCCATGAAGTGAAGGTAAGCAAGACCTTCAGCTGTGTCACAAGCAATTTGAAGGCGATGATTCCAGGTAACTGAGCCACGCTCCTTAGGCATTTGACCTTGCAAATGATCAAGAAGAGTTCCATTTTCTATGAACTCATAAACTAAAATAGGCTGCTCCAATTCCACACAGCAACCAAGTAGACCAACAAGGTTGCGGTGGTTAACTTGGCATAAAATGCGAACCTCATTGAGGACTTGATCAGTGCCTTTGGCGTTTCCAAGCTTAGCACACTTGACAGCCACAACAGTGCCATCTTGAAGAATGCCTTTGTAGACTTCACCATAGCCACCAACACCGAGGAGACGGTCACCGGAGAAGTCATTTGTGGCTTTCTTTATCTCTTTGCCACTAAAAAGTTTAGCAGCTTTGCCACCACCACTGGCATTGAGAATCCCTTCACGCTCTCTGGCTAGGCGTTCTTGTGCTTCTTTGATGCGTCTGTGGCGTTTGTAGAGCAGAACTGCAATGGTAGCAAGGATGAGTGCAGCTGCAATGCCGCATGTTAAACCTGCAAATAATCAGCATCAAAGTTTATATGTTAGATTGAAGATCAACTAAAAACTATAGTGCATGACACAGAAAGAGGCCAGAGGCACTAGCATTTACAATTCTGGTGAATGGCCATCAAAATTGTTCTATAGGAAAAAACAAGAAAATTTTCATTCGAGGAAGATATTAAAAAGGGAATTTTTTTTTTCTCAATAGATGAAATACAAAAGCAGTTTATTAGAACTATATTCACATAAAATTGTATATCTTTAGTTGGTTTTTTTTATATGTTACAAAACCGTTTTTGTGGATACCTTTAACCAGAATTTTAAACTTTCAACTTTGCAATTTATGTAAAACCTTCATTATTGACAAAGACTTTCAAGAATAGGAAGGGTTTTTGACCAAAAAAATGTAAATTTCAAAAAAATTCACCTGTTTAGTTCGTTGACCAAACGTTTTACCGGACTAATGCGGACTAATGCAGGAAGACACGTTTCAGGTGGTTACACATTTAGTCGAGCACCTGACACATGCGCGTTTCTGACAAATCTGAACACATCTGTACCATGTACGTGTCTGAACACGTCTGTACCAGGTGCGTGTTTCTGACAATTCTGACGAGCACAATACCAAGATGTGTCATATTCAGAGATGCATGTCGCGTCACAGTCAGAAACGCGCACCTGGTATAGACGTGTTTAGACACGTACCTGATACAGACGTGTTCAGATCTGTCAGAATGTGTCAGGTGCGCAACTAAACACGTAACCACCTGAAACGCGTCTTTCTGCATTAGTCCGATAAAACGTTTGGTCAACGAACTACATAGGTGAATTTTTTTTAAATTTGCATTTTTTTAGTCAAAACCCCGAATAGGAATATTGCACGTTAGTTCCACTTATTATTCATATGATAAACCACTTTCCTCAAAATTTTGTTGTATGTGGGATTTGTTCATCATGTACATGGCCTATTTGTCTGCATTATTAAAGCTAGGACTTTAATAATGATGAGAAAACATCACTATCTTTAACACATTAACAAAATTTGAATGAATAAGCATTACTCAATCATAATTCATATCATACAATTTCATAACCCATATTAATTTTCCTTTTTTCTAAAATAGAAAGGAGAAAAATTTCAGAAGAGAAATACCTGCTATTAATGCTGTTCTATTGGTTGAGTCGTCACAACCATCAGGGTTCTGGCAAATAATTTCTGCATCAAAAAGTCAAATCCAATCTCCAAATTTGGTCAACGCTCCCAACAAATTAGAAAATTAAATTAAAAAAAAAATGAGTAAATACTATTTTTGTCCTCAACAAATTTCACCATGTCTGCTTTAGTCCCTAACAAATATAAAGGCTATCCATGGTCTCTAAAAAAAATCAAAATGGTTGTCGTCCCTTACAAATTCAAAAAAGACCCATATTAGTCCCTCAAAAGAACTAAAATGAGTCCACCTTAAATTTCTTAAGAACCACGAATAGTCTCTTTATTTGCTAGAGTCACTTTGAATTTAAATTCTGGTAACGATCGAAAACGATATTTACTCAAAAAAAAAAAAAAAAGAAGAAGGAAAGGGAAATGATCCTGTACGACTCACTTTTGGTGCACAGCCCTTGAATAGGGTCCCACACAAGCCCGTTGATACAGAAACATCTCTTGATCCCATTCGCAGAGGATCGGTCGGGCCCACAAGTCGACGTGGCAGAATCACAATCCGCCTGGGACCCACAAACGGTTTCCCTCGGGGACAGCCACTGAATCTCCAAACCCGGTTCAGGCCACCGGTTCACGGGGAGACCCGGGTTCAGGTTAACGAAGCTGGAGTAAGCGCTGCAACCGGAGTCTCTAACACGAATCATGTAGGAGTTGCTGGACCCGCCGGTTCGGTAGGTGCAGCAGAGGGGACCGGCCTGGCATGCGGCGGCGGAGGCGGTGGCGTTGATGTAGTTGTTGCAGATGCTGGCGGCGGAACAGTTTAGTGGGGACATGAGAAGCGTGAGGGTGCAGTTGAGGTATACTATGGTGTTGGAGCTTGTGATGTTGAAGGGGAGGGTATTGTTCAGCTGTATCCCCCCGTCGACCTTATCGGTGGACACGCACGTGTCGGGTATCAACGAAGCGGGTCGGATCACCAACCGTTGGGTTTTCGGGTTAATGGATTCGATCGTGTATGAGTTGTTCAGCGTGTCGAACATGAGTGTGCCGGAGGATGAGCACCGGACTTTGTACAACGGGTCGCCGCACGTGGCGGCTGTGCTCAGCGGGAACGGCACCGTTGTGTTGCCGCACGCCGGGCACAGTGTAACGGACATGACGTGTGCGGCGCATGTTAGCAGCGCCGCCGCGGCGAAGAGGAGGAGCTTCGGCGACCTCATTGGTGGCACTATATAACAAGAAATGAATGGTGGCATTTCCTTATATATATATATATATAGATTTTTATTAATCTCGGAGTTAGTTATCTCATGTCATAGAGACAAACTAGTAGACTTCACCACCTGAAAAAATAAAAGAAAAAGACGACACAGTTATCGAAGGGTGTGTAAGAGAGAAAACTTATGTCATGTGACTTTTTCATATATATATATATATATATATGGGAAGGGTTCTTTTGACTCCAGAGTAAGATTTTTAAGTCTTACTCATCGTCTCAGCCGTTGATGGACGAAAATCAATGATTGTCATTTATAGTGTAATTAATAATTAATTAATTAATATAACTTTTTAAATTATAACCGTTGGATGGACGGAAATCAACGGTTAGGATGAGGAGTAAGACTTAGAAATCTTACTCTGGAGTCAAATGATCTCTCCCATATATATATATATATATATGTGTGTGTTATCAACTTTATTTATTATTTAGTATAATTCTCTCAACTACGTTATAATCATTTAATAATTTATTGCTTATTGCTTATGTAAAATCTTCGTCTTTTGATTCATTACATTATTTTAAAGTTTCTTGTCAAAGTTTTGTCTATATTGCACATTTATTATTTTATTTTAATTTTTTAAATATCTGGTTGTCAAGGGTTATATATATGTAAGGTGGAAAGCGAAAAGGAGGATGAGCAGAAGGTTCCGTCTCCTAACAAAACATTTTGATTATTGATTTAGTTAATAATTTATAAGTAAATTAACAATAAAGATTACCACAAAAAAAAAATTAACAATAAGTTAATTTGATGAAATTCCTAATCAAACAGAAATTAAAATATTCAACGTATTGTCCAAGTGGAACAAAATCGTCATTTTCTCGTGTGGAAACTTCGTTTGACTAGTTAGCTCTTTTGAAAAATAAAAATAAAAAATTACTACAGTATGGGATTGATACATGGGGCAGAGTAAGAAGCAAGTATAGTGGTGTTAATACAATTATGCAAAGTTATAAGAACCGTGTCGATCCGGCTATACAATTTTCGATTTTTATATTGGAGTAGTCATGTAATATAACTCGTATGATCCAATGTGATTTGGGACAACTTGGCCGATTTTTGTAAAGTCCGATTATCCTATTTTATAAAAAGAAAAAAAAATATCAAGAGATGTTTTTCTATTTTTCATTCTCATACATAAATGATTTGTTTTCTTTTGAAATATTTGAGTGATTTGTTACTTGTTGACTTACTTAGGTTAGCTTATGTATTTACAATATTAATATTATTTTGGTTATGTAATATGTAGAGAATTTTATTTTTCATTTGATTTATAATTAAAGATGTCATCTACCGAACCTGAAGCACTAATATCATAAGTATTATATGTTTGATTGGTCTTTTATTGAAAAAAGATGTGTAATTTATTTATTTTCATATTAAAATATTTGGAATTAGTATCATTTTTTTACAAGTATTTAAGTATATTTATAATTTTTTAATATAAATTAAAAAATTATATATACTTATTAAGTTATGCGATTAAATCAGTAATTCATTGATTAAACCAATAATCTAATGATCAAATACCTCAACGAAAAGGCACATTGCATTTATGTATAATTTAAGGAGTTGATATGAATGATTCGATCCAAACACAGTTCACTGTTTTGGAGTATTTGACTCAAATTCAACCACCCACTCACAACTCAAGTTTTATAAAATAAAATGCTTCGTAAGTTGCGAAGAAGATTTCCCCACCTAAAACTGATTTTGTTGATTATTTTTAGTTCATACTTCATCACAGGAGATGTTCCACGAAAATTAAAATATATACATAGTGTTAAGATCATTTTATATCAGTGTAAGTTATACTTTTAATTTTGTCCGTTAATTTTACTTATATCTAAAGACTCAATTTTTTTAATAATGTGAGCCATTAGATGCAAGTGGATCAATAGTCAAGATTGAGTGTAAGACTTCTAATTATTACATTAGTGTAACAATATCCTACCCCATATATATATAGGTAAAATCATTTCTGCAGCAGCTTTACGTACAGCAACGACAGATGTATGGTTATGATTCTCCACATTTAATGCTTTTAATCTTTGGGTTTTATATATGCCATGTTGTAGGAAACTTGTAGTGTCATGTTACTCTAAAACATTTCATGTGGGTCCCACTCAAAAAGAAAAAAAAAAAAAAACAAGGTGGGGCCATCACTTTTTGTGAGAGTGACATGATGTTACAAGTTTCTTACAATATGATATATATAAAACCCTTAATCTTTTATATGATTATGATTTCCCGCATTTAATGTTTTCAAGTATATATATGGTAAGTATTTGATTGACGCACTTACAGCAGTTGCAGAAATGTAAATTCATATATATATATATATATATATATATATATATATATATATGGATCAGGTTTATTTTACACCAGTGTAAGTTACACGTTTAATCTTGTCCGTTAATCCCACTTATATCTAAAGGCTCAAATTTTTTAGTAATGCGAGCCATTGGATACAAGTGAATCAATGATCAAGATTGAGTGTAAGACTTCTAACTCTTACACCGGTGTAAGAAAATCTTGTCCTTATATATATATATATATAGGATAGGATCAACTTACACCGGTGTAAGAATAAGAAGTCTTACACCAAATCTTAACCATTGATTTTCTTCATCTAACGGTTAATATTTATAAAATTAATGGTTAAGATTTGATGCAAGACTTCTTATTCTTACAAATGTTGGCTTGAAGTTGACTTTGACTTTATACGAATGGAACAAAAGGTCCATGTCAAACAACAACAGCTATATTCAGCCAAGAGAATAGGGATAGAGCTACATTTAAAAAACTATTTATAATGTCTTTAACATAATCACTTTCATAAGATTAATAATCGTGAGATTTAAGAATAGAATATATGAATGACAGTGATCGTTTTCCACCCTCCGTCGTTAAAATAAAAAAATAGAACTAAAACTAAAACGCGTTTCCGCTTCCTGGTTTTGATGAAAATCACAATTCCATGGCATTGTGGGCTCTTGTTTGTTGTGTATCCTCGCCTCCTCTAGCCACTTAGCTAACTCATTAGTCATTACTAGTTTACTATTGTTGAACTGTCACACCACATGCACCAGTAATATAAATTTTCATGTCAAGATCGTACGGGTTGAATTTGATTGTACATCTCAATTATTTATGAGCAAATTAATAGTGATAAAAGATGAAAGAGACAAAATCAAGATAAAGAGAAAAAAAATCAGTACTATTTTTTTATTCATAATTAGTTAACATCTTCTTATATGATATAATTATATTAAATAAGGCCAGGATCATTTGATATAAGACTATGTTGCATCGATATGGGATATGAGATACGACACGACATAATATTTCGACATGTTAATTTTAAAATATGTTAAATTTCGACACGTTTTGATATAATATAATATTTTAATTTATGTAGTATATATTACATTTAATATTCAATAATTTAAAATAAATAAAGCTAAACTTATAATACTCATCAATTTTGCAAAGAAACATAAGATATCCTAAATGTTTATATTAAACTCAATAAAATAGTAATCATAATCAAACGAATATAATAATTGAAACTCAAAATGTAACACAACGTAACTTTTGAACCTTTTTTAAGTCTTTGTAACGAGTATTGGAGTGTCGGGAAGTGTCGGTGAGTGTCAAAAAATATAAGACACGACACGACAGAGATTTTGAAGTGTCAGTGCTTCATAGGATATAGGTATCAAAAAAAAATTTGACACCTTATTTGATAATCGTCAATTTTATCTTGATCTAATAACTATGACTTGTAAACATATAATCAATATTGTCAAACTCGAGTTTCTACGTAGAAACGGAAAGGGGTGGTAGAAACGTAAAACATAGAAACGACACGAAACGTAAAGTTTTTACTTTCTACTACTTAAGGTCAAGATACAAAATTATAAATAAGCAAGTAAAAAAAATATCACATAATAAACATGTGTGTTGAGCCACTTACCTATCTAAAAAGGAAAATTATTTTTAATAACCAAGTATCAAAATTATAAATAGTAATAACTAACAAGTAATGGATAACTAATATGCTCTAACAACTTCATACACTTTACAGATTTTGGATTATCGCATATCAGACTATAATTTCACTTCTTTCAATGCACATAATGATCCAAAAACACAACATCATTTTCATAGCATAACTTATAATAGAATTGCAGCTTTATAAGACATAATTATAAAATATATATATCCAAACAAAAAGATATCAAGATACCGAGATGATTTCGGAAAAACGAAAAATTTGGTTTTTTTTAATTTCTTTTTTGTAAATCTTTTTATTTTAAATTTTTTTCATTTTAAATAAAAAACGGTAAAAACTTTTTTTACTGTTTTTATGCTGCATTTTATCAATTTTTATCAAGGATCTTTTTTACTTGCATTTTAACACGCACCACTCTAGTAAAAACGTTAAAACGTAAATTTTTATATTTTTACATTAGTTTTTGACAATAATACATATAACAATGTTATATGTCTTGATCTAATGAATCTTACATAAAGTGCCAATGATAATGATGTTGATGTTAAATAATCGTACCCCTATTAAATAACACGTCAAGGAACTCATTTCCATCAAATAATTTATCATTAATTGTGAAATTGAAGTTCAATAAAAGGCGGTTGACAAAGGAGAGAAGAATTTATGAGATACAGTTGGAAAGGATGTCATCTAGCAGATAAGAAGATAGAAAGTTTGGAATCTGACCACGCGCCGCCAAGTATCTAGAACGCTAGATGACTTCTCTGTCACCAGCTAATGAGAAATATTTAAGCTATATATTTTTAGATAAATTATATTTTTATGCTTGGATTGTTAAATAAATGCTCACTTTAAATTTCTCCATATGGAGGAGATATTGACAAAATAAATCACTTTAAATAATAAGCTGAGTTAGGAGCCGGGAAAATTGTATTATATAATTGGGTCAGTATCATTTTATATCAGTATATGTTATATTTTTAATTTTGTCAGCTGATCTCACTTATATCTAAGGGCTTAAATTTTTCTTATTAATGTGAGTCATTGGATACAAGTGGATCAATAGTCAAGATTAAGTGTAAGACTTTTAACTCTTACATTGGAGTAAAAATATACTGCCCATATATATATAGAGGTATGATCCTTTGACACCAGTATCAAATTTAAAATTTGACACTCATCCGATAGCCATTAGATCAAAAAAGATCAATGATGTCACATGCTTACAAATCAAAGTCATTAATCTTTTTTGATCTAACGGCTCTCAGATGAGATGTCAAACTTAAATTGGGACACCAATAACGATATATATATATATATATATATATATATATATATATATAATGGTGTCATATGATTACAAAGGAGTATTGATCTTTTTTGATCTAATGACTGGTGATGTGTCAAACTTTAAATTTGACACCGGGGTCAAAGGATCCTGTCGTATATATATATATATATATATATATATATATATATATATATGAGGCATGATCTTTTGACACCGGCAAATTTGAAGTTTGACATCTCATCTGAGAGCCGTTAGATCAAAAAAGATTAATGACTTTGATTTGTAAATGCTGACACCATTGATCTTTGGCTAACGGACAAAGAGGTGTCAAACTTCAATTGGTGACTGTGGTGGTGATGCTACCTCATATATATATATATATACACATACATACATACATACATACATATATGGAAAACATTTTCTCCTTTTAAAGGAGAATTTTTTCTCCTAGTGACTCATAGCATAAGTGGGTTCCACCTTGAATTTTTTTCTCTCTACTATTTTGTAGACCCCACTTATACTATGAGTCACTAGTAAGAGAAAATGTTTTTCATATATATATATATATATATATATATATATATATATATATATATATATATATATATATATATATATATATATATATATATATATATATATATATATATATATATATGGGCTTTAGATTCATTATGTTACTGGATTACATTTTTTTTCCTACAAAGAAAAGACAAGTTAAATAATAATAAAAAACATTGAAAAGGCACACTATTCAACGACTTTATTTTGTCCAAGTATATATATATACATGCAACATGATATATTTATATATATATATGTGTGTGAAAATCATTTTTCTCCTATGTTATACAGAAGCCACGTGGGACCCACTATTAAATGATAGAAAAGAAAAAAGAAAAAAAGTGGGTGAGGTTTTTGAAGTGAGATAACATGAGATAATTTCCTTATGTAAAATGAGAGTAATATTTTCATATATATATACGGTAAAATTATTTTTGCAACTGTTGTACGTACAACAATTAATCTTGACCACTGATTCTCTACATTTAATGCTTTCACCCACCTTTGTATGATTATGATTCTCCAAATTTAATTGTTGTACATACATAGCTGCAGAAATGACAACTGCTATATAAATAGAAAAATATTTCTCAAGTTGCTTGAGATATATTTATCCCCGGTCAGCTCAAAACTACGTCATTTTGTTTATTTATTTCCGTATATTTATTGATTCACCTTTGAATGGATGGTTATGATTTCCTTCTTCTCTCTTTATTATCTCAAGCAACTTGAGAAACGATAAGCGTGAGCGCGCACACACGCACACACATATATATAGAAGCATGACCATTTGACATCGATATGAAACTAAAAAGATTGACATCAAATCTTAAACAATAATTCTCAACAATTTAACGGTTATAATTTATTGGGTCACCCTTATTAACTAATTACTAACAAAAATGAAATAATGTTAACTTGCCTTAGTGTGTATTCTAGCTGCTTTGTTTTGGAAGAGTTTGCTGCAATCGATTTACGCTGCAAATGGAAAAAATCAAATGGCAAGAGTATGCTGCAAATAGAAACAAATGAAGATAGAAGAACAGAAGTTTGCTACAAAAATGGAGAAAGATGAGAATGAAACAGAGAAACACGGGAAGGTTTTACAAAGGGTAAATGTGTGGCTCCGACGGCTGGGGTTTTTCCATTTTGCATGCCATCTGAGTTTCGGTACGGGGGCACTTAGATAAAAAAAATAAAAATTAAATGAATCCGTGGAGGACGTGGGGTGGCACTTAAAAATAGAAAAAAAATAAAATAAAATTTTTTTAACCAAATATCAAATTGGTACATTTAAATGAAAAAACCCCTAACCCGTAAAAAAGGCCACTTCATAAGTACCAACCCAAAAACCACCTTAGTAAAGAGAGACCTCATCAGTCACATATAAACTCAACCAGAAATCATAAACCAAATCTAATCAACTGTGTTTAGCTAAAATATTATTCAGCTAATAAATAGAATTGTTGTTTCTTTATTCGGTGGTTAAGATCTCGCCAACGCTAGACTCCATTAGCACGCCTTCACACGGGAGGAGACTACTCTATGAGAGGTTTAGCCATGCCTAAAAAACGCGCAAAGCAACCTCAGGTATTTGACTTCAACTCCGTTATAAGGCAATGCTTATAACTCTGAAATATATCTCACTAGTCGTTTACCAAAATATTATATCTAACTAGTCACTATCTTGATTTCTATCCCATCACATTTATATATAATTTGCAACGTGCAATTGTTTCAAATATCATTTTCAAATCAGTGTATTTTTTCAAGGTTTATGGAACTAAACGCGTCAAAAATGTGTATTATATTTATGGGTTATGTTTATCTAATTTTACATGAGTTAAATAATTTTCCTACACACATAAAAAAGAATTTAGTCTCACCACTTTTTTCTCTCTCCTCTTACCTATGAATCTCACTTATAATTTTATTTCTATGACATAAAATAACTTTTTTCCTACAACATAAAAAAAGTATTTCCCTGTATTTATATCTACAAGTAATTGCAAAAACTACGAACTATGACGAGAAATCAGAAAATAATGCTAAGCTTTCCCCGCCAGTCAAATCAGAAACAAGAATGAGTTGAATAAAGATCAATCTCAGCCCAACATTAGACATGGACCTTCACAGCCTTTATATATATATATATATATATATATATATATATCAAAAAAAATAATTATCATTTTAAATAACATAAAATTATATCATTTTCAATGAAATTACATTTTTTTGGTGTGTTTTTACATTGTCTCTTATCCACTTTCTTTTTCCTTCCTAATTTTATAAAAAAGACAATGACAAAACACATTAAAACAATGTAATTTCATTACAAATGACACAAAATTAAATGACAAACATTTTTTCAATATATATATATATATATGGGTTTAATATTTTTGATATTATAAGAGATAAAATTATCTCCTAACACACATAAAAATATGTGAGATCTATGTGAGGAAAAGAGATAATGAGAAAATATAAATCCCACATTTTTATGTGTATAGAAAATAAATTTATCCATTACAATATGAGAAACAATAATATATATATATATATATAGGGTTTTATTATTCTCCTTCAACATAAAATAGGTATCTTATGTTGTAGAGATAAAATAGGTGGGTCCCACCATTACAAGAAAAAAGAAAAAAAAGAAAAAGATGAGGTGCGGAAATCGAAGTGAGAGAGTAGGAGAGAAGTAATCTTATGCAAAAGGAGAGTAATATTTCCCATATATATATTATTATACCTACTTTTTTTTCACGTCTATTCTACCTACTCATCTCTAATATCATTGGATTAAAATCTCAAGAGAGGAGAGAAATAGTGAAAGTTAATTGAGATTATAATATAATAATGTTAGAAATAAGTAGGAAAGATAGTCATAAAAAAAAGGTAAGTACAATATCTTGTCCATATATATAGCCATAACCCGACAACTACATGCCAGGTGCCACTGTACCAACATCAAGTGTATCTAAACACACTGGACAGTTTATACAATTAAAATAAAATTTACACTATGAACAAAAATGTTACATAGATGAAAAGGACAAAATATTTCCTTCCCAGACCATAAATTACTATTTGTTAAACGCTAGAGCGAGTCATGGTGATTCACGCCATGAAAGAATACAAGCCTATATGCATATGTATACCGCTACTGTATGTACATACACATATAACTCCATGATTTACCAATCAGAAGAACTGCTAACTAACAAAATTGGGTCAAGAGCCTCGAGGAAGACATGACATCAAGTGGGTGATTCGGCCAAAAGAAGAGTATGCCACCAACCACATGCAACGTTTTTAGCTACACAACCTTCCATGGTGACTTCAGAAGGAATGTTACGGTCAACCACATCCCCAAGGCCCAGCTGCAACACTCAGAAATCACAACTTAGAAAAGGATGATCCAATACCAAGAATGTCACTAATTCACAAAACAAACTATACCCTTATCACTTAAAATACATATTTGATCAGACTGAAATTTCAATAATATTGATTGTTTAAAATATAAAATGAAAACGAAACAGAGAAAAATGGTAGTCTATTGTAAGCACCTGTCCATATTTGTTCCATCCCCAGCAGAAGACTTTTCCATTTTCTTGAAGAGACAAAAACAAAAGGAAAACTAATAAGAATCTGCTAATCATAGACGCGCATTTCCATGTGTTTTCAACTTCCAATATAGTTAAAATACAACATTAATGTGCACATAATGATGAGAAACTAACCTCATGAGTATTTATGACTAGGGCCAAAAAGAAGAACACGTATGACTATTGTTAAAGTAAAAAACAGTAATGTACTATCTACATTTGAAGTCCTGCTTAGCCATCTTAATTCTTATACAGTTACGCTATGGTAGAAAGTTTTAATCAGGTGGGCCTCAGACACTACATCTAACAATTCATAGCCAACCCTCTCCAAAGATTATTCAGTTTCACTAGCAACTACTATATCATTATGGACTTCACAAGATTAAAGAATATTTTCACCTCGACCCCATTTCACAGTAGCACCAGCATACCACATTTTTTAAGAGAAAAAAAAAAAAAACTATTTGTTCCATTGTTTCTGTCGCTCTCATCAATTACATTGGCAAAAGGTAATTCAACCAAACTTGAGGAAAAATACCTATCTCAAAACTTTTGTTCAAAGTCATTAAAGAAAAAAATCAAGAAAAGAACAAAAGGAAAATGTTAAGTGCTCAATGCTTAGTACTAGATGAACAGCACCTTACAGATTCCATTTTAGAAAAGGGATAGAGTTGAGAAATCAAAAGGTTATCCAAGTCTAGCAGTGTTTAGAGATGCATTAAGCAAGTCTAATGAGTTATATTATACCTGTTATTAGAGCAGTGTGACGAGCCCCACAAGATATACTCTTTGCATTCATATTTTCCAAGCTCGGAGAATCCAGTAGCCTTGGTAGAGTCTGCTTCAAAATTCAAGTTAACACTTAAATACCTCAACAGAAGTTAAGGACATGACATGCATTATGGAGTTTTAGGTGAGCAATAATGACATATTCATATTACCCTGGGGACTAATATAATCACATCATTATGTTTCATTATAAATTTTAATTACAAGAAGAGTGGGAAATCTATGGGATGACTAGGTCGTACCTCAGCTTGATCAGCACCAGTTCCCAGCTGCCCAAACTGGTTTCCACCAAATGCATATACATCACCATCAGCAGATAGACAGACAGTATGCCATAGTCCTGCTGCAACTCCCTCTATTCGGATACCCAGTAAGGATGATACGCAAGTCGGGCTCAATTCATCGTCCGTACTTCCTTGCCCACACTTTTTCAAAACAAGATGACTTTTAGTATAACAAGCATAAGCATTCATCAACCAAGAGAGTCATTAGAAAGATAAATATTGTAAAGGAATAGAACAGATTATCTCTTGTTAGAGTGAACCTCATCTTCAACATCTACATTGCTTTTGCCGACCATATTCTACTTTACCTACATTTTGATCCTAAAGAATGGTTAACAGTTGATAATATTGAAGCAGTGTTGTAGGTGAATACATTTCAACTGACTAAAGTATGTTTAGTTAATTCTTATGCAAACAAAATTCATGGAAGTATGTAACAAAGACTCAAGCTATCTTAGGAAAATCAGCTCCCAATGTTGATCAGGCGCATGTTGCTAATTCACAGTAGCAAGAAAGTATTAGCTAGCAAAATAGACAAGATGTTGATGACATGCAAACTTAAGCAATAAAGTGAAAACCTAAGAGGAGCTATCTAAGGGAAGGTCTAAGTGCAGTGGCTGATACATCTCATTTCAAGAAAACACAATGTAACCCAACAAATAAATTTTCATTTTATCTTTGTATCTTTTTGAGGCCCTCAGGAAGTGGACTTCATGGTCTGCCCCGAGAGGGATTCAGCACCAGAATATACTTGTATTAGGACCCAAGCAAGATACCACAGGTTAGAACACTTCAGAGGATTTTATTTACAATGACGAAATTTGTTGAAAAGGATAAGCTCTGCAAGCATAATGCTGGTTAACAATATCCTTATTTAGGTAGCCACTAAAATAAAAGGGGGTGGAGGGGGGAGGAATATGCAGGTAAGTGGACATAATTTACATTGCTAAATGGGATATGAGTAGAGAAAAGGCCCCAAAGATATCTCTAGTTCACCTTAAATTACCTGTCCATAAAGTCCCCAACCAAAAGCAAGCACAGCTCCAGCATCTGTCAGTTCAACAGGTAGATATTAGAATATCAGTATATATGAATTGTGAAATTGACAGACCATAAATAGACGAGAAAATTTTTGGGAAACAATAAGTGACTACGAAGTTGCCAAATTTTCTTTTATTGTAACTATTCAACTCTAAATCTAGCAGCATCCAGAAAGACACACCAGTTATATTTATAGACCTTTCTTAAGGATATTGTTTCTCCCTCTTTTTAAATGTACAATTTCTAATCTGATTGTACCATCTAATGTAGAACTATTTTTTCTCTTTCTAAACACCTTTAAGCACCAATTCTGATATTAGTTAGGTAAATTGCATTATAAATGAAGCATGTGGATATTCTCAATTTTAGTTCCCCAAAGAAACTAATGCAGGCTGTCCCGCAAGATGTTCACTTGCGACACTCAATAGAATGACACATATGTACCTGTGATTACTGCACTGTGTCGACCTCCGCAGGCAATTCCCTTCACATAACTTCCAGGAACTCTAAAATTATGTTCCTCTGAACTCATGCTTCCTCGAGCAAGTGATGCAGATATATCTTTACCATAAGAAGAGGAATCAATACAAGGAACAAGATGAGGAGAGGACACCATACGTACTCTGGAACCTAAACCAAGCTGCCCTTCACCTCCATAGCCCCAACCCCACACCTGTCCTATATCTGACACTTCCAGAAAATTACAATCAATGACATTTCTTAGACTGCATAGCTGATCTTCCGTAGTACAAAAAATGGTGTTTCAACTAAAGGATGGTCAAATTACAATAGACAAAAATAATATACATAAAAGTTTAGGCTTAGGTTAACGAATAGTCGATAATGAGGTCGATACCTGACAATGCTAGGGTATGGCGTCCACCTGCAGCAACACATGCTATCCTTACCCCTGGGTTTAGTGTGACAAGACATGGCAATGCAGTCAGAATATCATCACCAGATGACGAGGTTTCCGCTGTTTGCTTTGCTGAAGATACTCTCCTTCTCTTTGTACTTTCTTCACCACTGGTACTGGTGGCAGTTCCTCCAGCAGATTTTGAGCCTTGAGAACGAGGGCTAACTGTAGCAAAACCATTCTACATTAGTTAGACAGATAAAGGCTAATTATCCTTCTTTGCTCACAATAAAGGGGCAAAACTCTTTTCTTCTTTCTTTTGAGGTTTGAAACATTCTATCCTATATCATCATAGCAGTTCCCCACCTCCCCAGATCCTTTTTGTACAGCTTTCCTAGCTTAGACCACCTCCTGGGAGGGATTAGCTGAACACAAATGGCCATTGTAAAGAGGTCAAACATACCTTGCTCCGTCAAGAATGAACTCTGCCTTCCTGGTACATCTTTGTCGGGACTTACCCCTGTTGATGGTTCACCAAATACCTTCCCAGAGGGAATACATTCCTTCCATCCCCATGTGTAAACTTCTCCACAATCTGCAAAGGAACAGCAAAACATAATTGTAGGAAGACACCAGGAAGAAAAACTTGCTTGATGGACAGACAATCTCTAGCCCAGTTAAATGATAATTTCTTGAATCCGCTTTGGATTCATTACTTGTGAAAGTTAACTGAGAATACTACATATTCAATTTTAGATTATCCCTTCTCCTTTCAACCACATAACATTGAGGTTTTTTCCTGGCAGGAAAGATAAGAAAATGAAGATTACCCGTTACAGAAACACAATGGGCCCATCCAGCAGCAGCTTTTACAATAGACGCTTCAGTTGGAAGAGGGAAAGGCTCAGGAGTTTCCTTTACAAATAAACTATAAAATGTTAGTTGACTGGCAAAGAAAAAGAGAGAGAGAGAGAGAGAGAAACAGTATCATTCTATATGATTATGCATTACCCCGTGCTTGCCAGAGGTGACATAGCTTTGGCCTAGATCATCTGTTGAACCCCATGTTATGAGCTTTCCTGGCTCTGATAAAGGAAGAAAGTATGAGCAATGAAAAAAGAAAATGCTAGAAGAAAAAGGGAGCCAAGAGGGATAGAAAGATCTGCACTGAGATAACTGCCCTCAAAAGAAAAAAAGAAAGAATAAGGGTGACCTTAATTCCAAACACAATCGTTTAAAAATAAAGAAATAAACAAAACCAAAAAAAAAAAAAACTACACTCATACTTAAGACATTTCCTTAGCTCTGGCTCAGTGGCATTAAACAAAAATACCAACAATGAATTCCATGGGAGTGAATGAGCAAGAGACTAAGGGAGCGTTTGGTACAAGGATTTTTTTTAGATTCTCGGGAAAGTGAGATTAGGAATCCTATTTATCCATGTTTGGTACAAAATTGTAATATTTTTCCTAGGAATCTTATTTTTTTCTGATTTGTGAACACTTTACCATCCAAGAATACCATCAAGTTTCTTGAGAGGTGGGAAATAGCACCAAGCAATATTTTCTTCCGGCGCCACTAGTGCCAAGTCTTCAAGCAATATTTTCTTCACGTACCAATGATGCGGTGATTAGTGCAATTTTAAAATCAACATTCTTAGTAATATTTGACAATAAACCAAACATAACATCAGGAAACTTGAGCCAATATTCCTGATAATATTTTGACCTATCAAATAGCTTTTCGATCACATTATCAGCATATTCTAATAATCGTGATTTCTAGACATAAAAAAATTTCTCCTCTACCAAACGTCCGCTAATAAAAATAAGTAAAACCAGTTTAAAACTGTAGTAGTGAAAGCCTCATAAACTGCAAGGAACCTCTTCAATTCTTCTCCTTAGAATTGACCAACTTATCAAAATAACGAGGAAAGCTAGAGGAACATAAAAGAAGAAGAGCAGCCTGTGGAAGAACTGAGCAAATAGTAATTAAAGTTCAAACGGAATAATTTAATCAAACAAAAATTTGTCTGGCCGCCACAGAGAGAGATAACTTCATTAAAAACACAGAACTTTGTAGCCAACAAAAATAGATAGTTTTTACTAAGAATATCATCAGCATGGAGCTCAGGCAACTGAACCGAATTCAGTGAGTTGAATTTCTCACTCCATTAAAAGGGAAATGAAATTACGAATGCAAAATTCTAAGTTCTCATTTCAAGCTTCTTATCAACAGATAAAGTGACAAAGCAACACAGAGGCAAATGTAATGAAGAAGCAATTCCTTCCATTACTGGACCCCAAAAATAAAGTATTTTTCCCCCAACAATCAGCTTGATTCTCAAATTTACAATAAAAACTCCAAAATTCAAAAAAAAAAAAAGTAGGAGCGGTTTTCACAACCAATAAAATGAAAAATCAGCAATTAAAAAAAATGAAAAAATCACCAGCTATAGCCATGGCGAATCCACAACCACCACCGCAAACATCCCTCCAGGAGTAACTAGACGCCGGAACCCTAACGACGACCGGCGTCAACAGCGGCGTCCTCTGAGGTAAGGCTCCCGGCAAGTAACCCCACATGTACACTAACCTCTCCTTCGCCTCTTCCAATACTTCATCCCTCTCGCCATTCATGGCGATTCCCTAAAAACAAAAACACCCAACGCAAAAAAGTTCAAAACTTTTCCCTCAGACTCTCGTTATTTTCCGTTGGGTGTGTTTGGCTAGCGAGAAAATTTTCTGAAGAGTTCGCGGAAAGTGCCCTAAAATTTTCTTAGCTGGTGCATAAAAAGGGGGCGTATCATTTTCAGCGAAATGAGGGTGCCACGTTGGATGCTAACGTGGTTCAACTTACACGTGGCATCTTTCTGGCCGCTAAATGCTTCGGCCATTTGTAGCCACAAGTTTTGCAGAACTTTCTGGAAGGGCTGTGTTACATTAGGAACTAGCTTTATCCTCTTGCCATGTGTTGGTCCATTACGCAAACTTCAATCATTATTTATCGTTACGTGTTCGTCTAAAAATGTGACACGTTATCACAGGCCCCCCCACATTCCAACTGAAGTGTGTGATGATATCGTGTGATGTGATGTACCGACGTTGTTATTTTTGGCAATTCAAGATTTCAACCAATGGACACAGAGGACTTAGATTCCTTTTTTCTATGATTAAAATATTTTTGTGATGTGTCATTATTTTCCTTTCTGAAATGAAAGATGTGTTTTGCCAAATTTGCTAAGTTTTTTGTGAGAGACAACAACTATGATCCATCCAAATTGGGAGGATATTTTTTTATGAAATGCCATATAGTAATTTTGACTTTGTGTGCGTGTGTGTCTCTATGTGCTAACTTTTTTTTTTTTTTAATAACGTCTCTATGTGTTAACTAAGTAAACAAGCAGTGCAACTTCTTCTTTTCTTTTTTTTTTTATAATACGAAGATATTCTCCGCAATTTTTTTCAATCACCTTATTTTTGAAATACAGCCTTCAAAACTAGTTTTTTATTAAAGCAGAATCATTGTCATTGAAGAAAATTGAAAATTAATCCCCTTTCAAAATTAAAACCTGACCAAAGCAAATTGTTCGACACTCAACTGCAGGGTTAACAAGCGTGCAACTAGGAATGCAAATACCTTTTTTTTTTTTTTTTTTTTTTGTGGGGACAAATACCACTTGTTTATCGAACCACTTGTTTGAAACTTTCAAGTTTGAGACTTTTACGTAACTAAATTTTATTGAACCACTTGTTTATATTTTCTTGCTTTTCCATGTTTTGTAGAGAGTATACTTTAGGAAAGTAAAAATACTAGGTGTTTTGGAGAGCGCAATTGCCCAACTAGGCCTAATTCCAAGGAGTTAGTTCTCTTGGGAAAACTCGGTTCCTTCAAGTTTGGCTCAGGGGCCTTTGTGCGGAAGTTAATCAACAAGATCCTTATCTCGGATCTCGGCAATACCTCACCCTGAACTTCACCAGGTCAGGCAGCGCAGCGAAAAAATCAAAACAAAAACAGGAAAGAGAGAAGAAGAACACAACCAAATTTAACGTGGGAAAACCTTCTTGAATGAAGAAGTAAAAACCCATGGGACCTAGTCCAGATCAGAAATCCACTATGAAAATAATGGTTACAAATAATCAAATACACCAATGTGGTGGTTAACTCAACCTCTCCAACAATGGTGATAATCAAACTACCCTAGAGATGTCTCACTCAAACTCTCTCTCTAGAGATCTTTCAAATGCAAAGTATAAAGCCTTGCTCAAACAATCAAATAATTCTCTCAAATTTGTTCTCTCAAATCTGACCTAGCCTCCACCCACAACTAATGAGTATATATAGAGGAGGTGGAAATTAGGGTTAGGGTTTTTAGGAAACCCCTCAAATGGGCTTGGGCTTAGCATTGAAGGAGGAAGCCCAACAAATCTCTCCCTCCGACTTCAATGCGTCGGCTTCAGCATCAACCCGGCTCCTTCACAGCAGTCTTCAAATTTTCTTGCTGGAACCGGCTTTGTCATCATGTCGGACCAATTTTGGTCAGTGTGCACCTTGACGAGTTCGAGCTCACCACCTTCCACCACATCCCGGATCCAGTGATACCTCACATCAATATGCTTAGTGCGGGAGTGATAGGTTGAATTATTCGCAAGATGGATTGCGCTTTGATTGTCACAACCCAGCTCATACTTGTCTTGATCATGGCCGAGTTCCATGAGGAACTTCTTCATCCACAGCATCTCTTTGCTTGCCTCAGTAGCGGCAATGTACTCAGCCTCAGTAGCGACAATGTACTCAGCCTCAGTTGTCGATAGTGCAACACATTTCTGAAGTCTTGATTACCAAGAGACAGCTCCTCCGGCAAATCTCATCATGTATCCCGTCGTTGACATCCTCGAGTCGAAATCTCCCCCTAAATCAGAATCTGAGTATCCTTGCAACTCGGTTTTGCCTTCTCCAAATCGGAGACATAAGTCGGTCGTACCTCGGAGGTACTTGAAGATCCACTTCACTGCTTCCCAGTGCTCTTTGCCGGGGTTTGACAAATACCAGCTTATAATTCCTACAGCATACGCCAAGTCGGGTCTAGTGCAAACCATTGCATACATCAAGCTTCCGACGACGGATTGGTAAGGGACCTTCATCATCTCATCTTTGTCTTCATCAGATCTCGAACATTGCTTTTGGTTCAGCTTTATGTTTCCGGCTAGGGGGGTGCTCACTGTTTTGGCTTTGTCCATGCTGAATCTCTTCAGAATCTTCTCAGTATATTTCTCTTGACTCAGCCACAGTAGCTTCTTCTGTCTATCTCGGATAATATTGATTCCGAGAATTTGCTTTGCAGGGCCGAGGTCCTTCATTGCGAAGGACGAGCTCAACGCCTTTTTCAGGGCGGCTATCCTCGATTTGTCTTTCCCTACAATAAGCATGTCGTCAACATATAACAACAAGATCAAAAAATCTCCGGCCTCATACCTCTTCACAAATACGCAGTGGTCGACTTCAATCTTCTCAAACTTATGATCAGTCATGAATGATTCAAACTTCTTGTACCACTACCGAGGTGCTTGCTTCAAGCCATAGAGGCTCTTTTTTAAACGATATACCAAGTCTTCTTGGTCTGGAGCTTGGAATCCTTCAGGTTGCTCCATATATATTTCTTCTTCTAAGTCACCGTGAATAAATGCCGTCTTCACGTCCATTTGTTCTACCTCGAGGTCCATTGAAGCCGCCATGGCTAACACGGTTCGGACCGAGGTCATTTTCACCACAGGAGAAAAAATCTCCTCAAAATCAACACCTTTCTTCTGATTGCAGCCTTTCACTACAATCCGGGCTTTATCTCGGCTTTTTCCCGTTCTCTTCATTCTTAATCTTGTAGACCCATTTGTTTTTCAGAGCTCGTCTTCCTTTTGGCAACTCAGTCAGCTCATAAGTCTGATTCTCGTGCAGAGACTTCATCTCGTCTTGCATTGCCTTTTCCCATTCTTCTCTCTTTGAGCTCGTCACAGCCTCATCATAACTCTGAGGCTCACCGTCTTCAGCAACAACGGTGTATTCATCAGATGGGTATCTCGTAGAGGGTCTTCTCTCTCGAGTTGGATATCTTGGCTGTTCTTCAGCTTGAGGACCCGGTTCATCATTCTCATCCCGGATCTCATCATCAACTCGGACCTCAGTGTCTTGGTCATCATCAGCTTGTTGCTGATCATATATTTCTTCATTTTCTTGATTTTCTCCCCTGCTTCAGTTTGGACAGGAGGGATGGGTTCTTCACGTCTGACAGTAACCCGGACTTTGGGCTTCGAGATGTCATGAATGTTCTCATGCTCATGGAAGATCAGATCTCGGCTTCTCACTATCTTCTTATTGATTGGATCCCAAAGTCGGAACCCGAACTCACATCTCGGCGAACCAAGATAAATGCATTCTTTAGTCTTTGCATCAAGTTTGGCCCTTTCATCTTTAGGGATATGCACGAAAGCTCGGCATCCAAACACCTTCAATTGATTATAGGCCGCTTTTCGACCTGTCCAGACTTCTTCTGGATTTTCTCCTTCAAGTGACTGTGATTGTGAGAGGTTGATCAAGTCAACAACTGTTTTGACGGCTTCTCCCCAGAATGATTTCAGCAATCCGACATTGGATAACATGCTTCGGACCTTCTCTTCAATAGTTCTATTCATCCTCTCAGCAAGTCCATTCAACTGTGGAGTCTTGGGGGGCGTCTTCTCAAGTCGAATCCTGGCCGCTCTGCAGTATGCATCAAAAGGGCCGCAATACTCACCACCATTATCAGATCGGACCACCTTCAATTCCTTGCCAGTCTCCCTTTCAACCATCGCATGGAATTCTTTAAAGGATTGGAGTATCTGGTCTTTAGTCTTCAACAAATATACCCACACTTTGCGGGAATGGTCATCAATAAATGAAACAAAGTACTGAGCTCCTCCAAGGGATCTTTCCGACATGGAGCAGACATCAGTATGGACGAGGTCAAGAATATACCTGCGTCGTCTAGGTTGATCCAGTCTCACAAAAGAAACTCGGTGCTGCTTTCCAGCTAGGCAGTGCGTTCAACTCTCCAACGCTTGGCCTTTCAACCCGGTCAATAATCCTTTCTTGTTCAGGATCTGTAGCCCTTTCTCGCTCATGTGGCCAAGGCGTTTGTGCCATAGCTCCAAGCTAGGTTCATCTCGAACAGAATTGGCTTCTCCGCCATTGATCTTTCCTTGCATCACGTACAAGGAGCCTTCCTTCTTACCTCGGGCCGCGACCAAGTTTCCCTTGGCCACCTTCCATCTCACACTACCGAAGTAGTTCACTAACCCGTCATCATCAAGTTTGCCTACCGAGATTAGGTTCAAACGCATGTCAGGTACATGCCTCACATCCTTCAACACAAGTTGGCATCCGACATCTGTGGTCAGAGTTACATCACCGACACCAACAATCTTGCTGGTCACTTGATTTCCCATTTTCACGTCTCCAAAATCACCACCTCGATAAGAGGAGAAAAAACCTTTGTGTGGAGTAACGTGGAAGGAGGCACAGGAGTCAACAATCCAGGTGTAGTCATCATATGCAACATTCAAATAATTATCCTCACCAAGGAGGAATATCTCGGCATCCGAGTCGGCAGCCACTGCAGTGGTGCTCTTGTCTTCCCTCTTCTTGGGAATAATCTGATCCGGCTTCACAGAGTCGTTATTCTCGTCATTTTGCATGGTCCAGCAATCTGGCTTCTTATGGCCTGTCTTTACACAGTAAAAGC